ATTTATATTCAGAAAAATTTACAACAACAAAAAGCAGTTAAAATGGCAATTCTAGAGCAATGCAAGTAAATGTGTTTTGATTCCACTAATTGTACGGAATGTTGCCAGGTTGGTTAATCCTATTAAGCTTCTTTATGATGAATAACCAAAGAACTAGGAAAGTGCACGCTTTGAGTAAAATAATTGCCACAAAATATTTGTAAAAGCATTCAAATCATTTGAGGAGCGAAAGGATGTTTTCCAGTGAGTAGACAGAAAGTTTCTTTTAGGAAAAATTATAATTTTTACAGCAGTTAATTTCAGAGATATTATGTTTGTACATTCGTTGTAAAAAAGTTGTCCTTCACAATATAAGTTTCTTTTCGAGAATGAAATTTCAATTGCAATTACAATTTCAGTTGGAATAAGTTTATTAAAACTTTAACATAAATGAAATATATATGTTTTCATAAATATAATCCCCAAAATGTATATTAATGTTTATATGTTTATGTTTATAGAGAAGTTTGTAAAAATAATTATTAAAAATTTATTAAGACAGGTCATAAAACCTTAACTAAATTAGAGTAAATCAAACATAACTGGAACGAACCATTTCGTTATAAATAATGAATAAAGGCGTGATCATGCTTTAGTTGCTTTAATGCAGATTAGTTTGCATAAGCAGTGGAAAATGTGAGAAATTAGCAGGATAGCTTAAAACCCTTCCCTCCTCAGGCGCGTATTAGACTCATTTGAACGTTTTGCTGCGAAACCACTTCTGTCATGTAGCAACACTTCCTGCGCAAATCCTGAGTGGCTGGGGATACAAAAACAACAACAACAACAGCAATAATAATAAGGACAGCAACCTCGCTTGTGCCATTAAGTGGCATTATAATTACAATTTGCACAGCGAAGCAGCAACTAAGTACAGACAGTGCGGACGAACATCAATTCCCGACTATAAAGCGCGCATTTGAAATGCTCGTTAGGCAAGGCAGGAGGCCACTTAAGAACTGGGAGCAGCAGAGGGAGGGAAATCAACATTTAATGTTTCTAACGCTAATCAGGCGCCAAGATTTAGCGGGCCTTACTGCGTATTTGCACGGTCTCTGTGCCCACAGAGAACCAACAATCTCAGTACTGAATATTCAGTATAAGTCGCTGTTTAGCAGCACTTAGCAACGAAATCAACGTTGCCGATGCCAACTGGGGCTTTTGGATCCAATTTGCAAAAACATACAGCGCCTAAGCCGCTTGGATTTTAATTAATTGCCCGCCCTCCGCATGCCTCCATGCCGCATTATATCAATAATTGACTGCAGGTATATATATTTTATTTGGACGCTCCACTTTAGCGATAAATCCTTTTAGTAACAATGTTGATTTTGTCAGAGATTAGGATTTTAAAATTAATTGTGCGCATAAATTTGGGTCCGCTTGTTATGTGAGAGAGAGACGCTTTTGATCCTCCGGAAAGCAACATCCTTAAAGCCTTGGCCCCAGTCGAAGCACAAACACACTCACACATCCACACTCACATAAACAGACAAACACAGTCATTTGCTTAATGGCACAAGGCAAAAGGTTACCCTCGTTGCAAGCTCTGTTGTTTCTGCCGCATTTGTCGGAGACTATAAATTTTCTCTCGGTTAAAATGAGTCTGCATAATTCAAAGGCAGAAAATTAAAACAAACGTACGCAACTTTAGAGAGGAAACTGCCGCCTGTCTTTTATTTGTTTAGTTCGGTTATGAAGAAGTTGTTGGATTTATTGCCATTTAAACAAGCAAATAATAGCCAAAGCACATAAGGATTAGGGAACTGGGGATTTGTCAACAATATTATTGATTAACATCACTTAACTGCAGAAGCTGTTTATTTGATGAAGCTTTCTAGATAATCAGAGGTCACTTCTCATTTATTTGCAGGATAAGCATTTCAAATTTGCTTGAGAAAAGCATGATTTTTGAGCAATTGCAAGTAATTACTTTACAAATTTGCATTTGGGTCATTTAGATATTGTTATTTATTATTTAAAAATTGTTATTGTTTGCTTAATAAAGGGAATCATTTGGAGCAATTATTTCACAAATTTGAATGCATTGTTTGCTCTCTCATTAAAATTTTTGATTATTTAAATTCGCAAAAAAAAAGTTATAAACGCATTCAAAATGAAATTAAGTTGCATGCAAATTCAATCACTTTGAAGAAGTTTATAAAATAATAAATAAATAAAATCTCTTTATTTATTCCCTAAGAGCTAAGAAAAGCAGTTGTTTTATTTAAATAATATCTTTATCCAATTACACATACAGTTCCTCCATGGAAAAATTATTCACAATATATGTACTACTTTTATTTGATGTTTTAAATTAAATATTAAGTTAAAGTCTAAATAATAAAAATAAGAATGTAATTTTGGTAATTGTAGAATATATAGTATAGAATACAATAATAACAGACAAATAATACGATTGTATTCTTAATCGATTATACACGAGTACTATTTATTACATTCGTTATATTATTATTATCACTTTTTATAACTTATTGATTTTGCAAACATTTCTATATAACGCAATAAAATGTTTCGACAATTTTTATTATTTTAGTCACAAAGCAAATATGTTTCTATTATATTCCCAAGTATAAGTTAACAGCTAAAGAAAAAACGCATGCTGCCAAGTCAATACAAAGTGGAAGACGTTCTAGGCATAAATCAATAAAATCGGAATTTAATATACACCGAATGCAAAATACTCGTAGCCCAAGAAGTTGATACGAATGGAGGATGGGAAATATATGCAAGAATTTTTCTGTTCATTGATAAAGTTCGTGAGCGATGGCATCACACAATTGTCTTTGGCACAAAATAATTTACATATTCAGCTTCTGGCCAAGAAAAAAAAAAGCAAAAAAACTGTGAGTGCCCCGAGTTCAAATCTACTTGACATCGACTGAAAGGCTGCCGTCTGCAGCATTTTATTTTGCCATTTGCAGGACACGAACACCTAAAAATCATACATATACGAGTATGGTTTCCCTTTTCCTTTGGCCTGTGAAAGACAGTACAGACATATGCCAAGGCATGCGAAATATGCGGCACTAACTGCCAGCAACGGCTGGCGAGACGATGATGTGATAGGAGGCTCATAGAATAGGATAGAAACAAAACGATATGAGAAGGATGTGAATGTTGTGAGTGACTGCTCACCATATGGCAGCCAACAATCAGTGGCACTTCTGTACTATCTGAATAATAGGTTAGTCCCTTGCCACTCGCCAGACAATCAGAATTGCGAGAAGTTTTTAGAGATATGCAAGTAAGAGGCGATGTGGTTTGTAGATTAAGCCATAATGTAAGACGAACAAACAAGTTGAGTGTGCGCCAATATAGTTTTCAATAATACAAATGGTTGTCTAGATTACGCATACGACCAGTTGGTTGTGTGCCAACACTATAAAATTAATTTTAAAACATTTTCCGCTTAATCATTCGTGCAGATAAAAAGCGACAGTTGTCCCTCAGGATAATTGCGTATGCGTGCCATACAAACAAATGGGGGGAAAGAAGTCAAAAGCAACGAAGCTGTTCCGCCCCCACAGAGACCAGACGGACAGACATGCGCAGCAAGTTTAGGTCCCAAGTCTGAACTCAACGCTCGCTTGATGTCTCTTTGGGCTGGCATTTAAGGAATAATTTGTGCACAAAATATTTTTGCTGTTTTACGCAGAAAATTTGGCCCTACGCCCAGGCCCCAAAATCCCCCGAAATAAGCCCAAAGCAGGCCACCACTTGTGGAACTTTTTGAAAAACGTGCTGAGCTTTTAAACGCGTGGCTTGCATAAGCGTGGGTGGATGGATGGATGGATGGTTGGGCTATCGCTTTCACGAGTCCCTTGGGAATCCATGTTCTTGCTGTTGTTTATACTGAATTCCTCCAACTCATCCTACCTATCTTTTGTTGTTGCTAGCCAGCTAACTGACTGGTTGCCTGCACTCACTTGTTCACATCGCTATCGGGCAGGCTGGAACATGCCAGAGATTTGCGTGGCAACTGCTTTTTGATATTCAATCATGTCGAACATCAACACGAAATGGCAGACACGCACACCAGCACTCCAGCACAGGACATCAGGGCACACCCACCCACACACACACACACACACACACACACACACACACACACACACACACACGCATACAGAATCCCAAGCACACACATTAAGTGACATTCAACTGGCCTTTACTTTATTTGCAATAATAGTCGGCCATTTTCAAAATTTAGCTCTTCAGTGTGTGGGCGGACGAACATCTCTGGCCTTGCTGTGGTCGTTGCCTTTATTAATAAACTTCAAAATACCCGAAAAAATAAATTTGTTTTCTTCTGTGCTCCCTTTTTTTTATTTTGAGGGTTTCATTGAAATTGAAAATATTTTTATGGCAGTGATGATGGACCCACATCAATTTATCACGTCAAGTGACTGAGGTATATCAAGAAAAGTTTTCGATATTAATTAATGCAGAAACACAACATTTGTTCAAGTCTTCCTTTAAATGTATCCTTGAACAGTCATTTAAGGGGCTGAAAGTCCATGGTTCCATTTATAACTTCATTTACAATGGCCACACAGTTCTGTTACAATTTCCTCCCTTTTAGACTAATTTGTATATTAGGAATATTCTGATTAGTAGTTAGCGAAGAATAAACAGGTCTAAATGCCAAATTATGGCCCCTAAATTATGTATGGTATTGCCCCAAAATACAAAACTGAGCGTTATATTGGAAAATCCAAAACGAGCATTTTTATTGAATGACTAAAAAATTCCAACAAATCCATTTTAATTGAAAAAACAACTAAATCGTTACCTAACCAATAGGTGAGTGGAAAACTTCTACCATTTAATTTTTTGGAAGTGTAGAATTGTTCTTCCCATTAACTTATCAATCTTTAAAGACATACTTGTATAATGTTAAGCCAAAAATTATATTCAATAATAACACTAGGAACACATAACCCTAACCTACTTTATTGACACTTGCAAAACACTTAGAGAAGAACGCGGATTGATTGATTACAGTTCAAAACCTCGCGTGATTTTGATATTCAACTTTCGGCACATCTTCTCCAGTTCCCCTAAAGTGGTGGAGTATTGTGAGTCGCGCCCGTGCATGCTAAATCCAGTATTGATCACATTTCTGCTCTCCTTCAAGGACAGCCAGCGTTCAGCAGGCAGCTGGGGATGCATGAATTCGCTCATTTTCTTGCCTTTGGCAATTGTGAACTCAGCCTCGTAGAATCGCTTGCGACGTGACTCGAATGACTGATCCAGGGTAGCGCTACGGTTCATCAGAGTGATGCTGCTTCGATCTGTGGCCAACTGCTGCTGTCCGATAAGTGAGAGTTCAGATTCCGGAGTAGGCGACTCACTGGGCGTTATTATTTCCTTTACTACCCTTTCACCACCCGCATCGGTCTGCTGTTTCTCAGCCTCTAAGCGCAGCAGAAGCAAGCGCTGATCTAGCGGAGAGCTCATCTTTGGGAATGGAGTCAGAGTCTTCACAGCCTTAATCAAACCGTACGTACGCTGCGACGTCGGTATATGAGAGGTGACCTTCACATTGCCTTGATCGAAGCCGACCCGGTTGCGAATTCCAGGTATACCGGTTCGTTGGGTTTTCTTCGTAGTCGAACTCCGCTTCAAGGCTGACCTAGGGGCAGTTTCGTCCCCCGGTGAATTTGCAATGTTCTTCTTTCGACTGTCCATAGTTATGATTAGGGCGGTTATTTGTGTAGTTCTTTTTTGCTGTTCGTTTGTGGTTGTTATTGTTCCCCGTGCCGATATTTTCTTAAATCGAATAAATGTGTGTGTGTATGCGTTTTTATTTGAATTAGAAAGAAAACTGAAATTCTAGATGGCTTGCCCGATGACAAGCAAGCACATGGCATGCTACACATGAAGATTATTTCAATATTATTGACATTTTAGTAAAGTATTAAGTGAAAGTATAATATCGATAATCTATTGAACCATTGGTAATTGGAAGTTTCTTCACATTTCTTAAAAACATTATAAATTTACAAGTGAGTTAAAGATATCTTCATGTTAAGAGTACAGGCAGCTTAGCCTTATCTACTTAATTACACAAAGTTAGTTTATGCAACTGTCGGACTTTCAACCAATTTGACAGAATAATGAACCTAAATCGTTTATTTAAAATATTGTCAAACAACAGTAATGGTATAGAAAATAAGTATATAGCAATATAATGTATATTTGATCTCTAACATAAAATACTCATGAACAGCTTGGCATGCTTAGGATTAGGTTTAGAATTTATAGTTACCTAAACAAATCGATGCAAATGCTGTAAATGGTCCTTTTTAGATAAAGGTGTGCTTCACATTGTTAGACAAATTATGAATCATTTCAATCTTACAGAAATAAAATGCTTCAAAAATAAATCGAAATACTAACAGATTTTAGTAAAAACAAGTATTATTTATTAGAAGTTTTATTTAAGTTTTAACAATTTCTTTAATTCACGAAAAACCGTTGAAATTTGAAAACAAACATTTTGTCATCATATATTAAATTTACTTTAAAACTATAAATAAAAGCTTATAAAATATTCGCATAAAGCTTAACAAAAATATGAAAAAAAAAAACAAAATTGATAAGACCAAGTTGAAGTAAAACTTATGCATACTTTTTACTCGAACTTCAAAAAAGCTTTTAACAAATTGTGGCTAGAAGAAAAACAATGCCTCCCATTCCTTAAGCAATTTGCAGCGTTCAACCTTTGGAATGGAATGCAGCAGTATAAGTGATAGTTGTTGAGCAACATGCTATAAAAAAACAATAACAATTACACTGATTGCCGTCCCCGGAGACAAGCGGGAGATGAAAGTGACTGACGACCGTTGAGGAAAGCTGGGTTGGGACAATAAGTCGGTCGTTTTTCTGGGCCATGTAAGCCATAAAACAATTGAGAGCTCAATTTTGAGCGCTCGGTCGCATTTGTTGTCCATTTCTGTCCATTTTGCATAACTCAACGGGCGACACTGCCACAAAATGCCAAGCGCCACGGGCCTTTGTTGCTATTATTGTTGCCACTGCCACCACCATCCCCTTTTATATATATAGTATCTGAAGGTATATGCATGCCAAAGGATGTGCCTGCAGCGCAGGATATGCACATTTTGAACGATTTCAGTTTCGGTTGTTACATTGTTAGCGTTTCTGCCTTGCGCCCCAAAACGAGGCCAAAAGCAACAAACTTTTATCTCGCAAATATTTCTCTGCTATTGTTTCGAACTGCCAGCCACCCAAGCTGGACAAAGGACACAGAGCAGAGGGCAATCGGTATGGTGTGGTATGATGTCCTGTGCTTAGCTCTGGTTCTGGTGCGTTCAAAATTCTATTTGATGATTATTCGTTTATGCTACGTATATGGTTTTCAGTTCATGCCCAGCACAGTACAGCACAGCACAGCAACTGCAATCTCTTTGTTTGGGTCGAAAAAAAAAAAACCAAAAACAAAAATAATACTTTTGCTATTTATATATTTCCTGTAAGCTGAACTGTGTAGGATATGAAAGCAATTGAATGGGCTTTGATAAACGCCAAAGGGAAGTGGGGAATGGGTTAAGAGCGCACAAAAGCATATATTCATATCAGTGCTAAAGGATTGCGTTTAATTATTTTTATAGCCAGACGAATGCAAGCCTCTTATCATATATCGTATATAAGGGGAAGAAAGGAGGACGCATTGCCTCAACTTAAATGGGGCCAATAAATTCAATATTAAACATGAGCCTGTCAGGCCAAGTTGGGTGCATGCCTGCTGAGATAAGCGAGAAGGAATAACTCGTAAATAAATTCAGTGAGTTTTGAGAGTTTATTGAAATTTGCATACCCCGAATAAAATGCATCACCCTCAATATATTAGCTCAACGTTTTGTATCTTCCCGCGTAGTCAGCTCAGCTTATTAGCAATAATCTAAAAAGCTTTTTCCGCAAAGTTATTTGCATTCTCTTTAATTTTCTGCTGCATCTGCCTTGGCATTTCTCTTCTCATTTCGCCAGGCATCCTAATCTGATTCGCGTTTCTTCAACGTACGCGTTTGTCATTTAGTGAAGCCTTTTCTTTGTCTACTAATCGCCTACACTAGCTAACCAATTGGTGCTATTATATATAATATATATTACATTTTTTGCAATTTATTAAACTAAAATAAAGCCTTTTTTCGAAATAGAGCCAATGATTTTTCTAAAAATTAATAAAAATATTTTTATTATCAATAAATAATATACATAAAAACTGCGCCAATTTTTAAAATACACACAACTTTAATTCGTTAAAACAAAATATAAATTAAAGCAGCATTTTTTTGAATATTAGCAGTAATTTATTTTTGTAGTCATTTTTGTTTTAACAATGTATATATTTTTTTTAAAACAACTATATAACTATATAACTACTAGCCTTTTCAGATTGTTTTTTAAAATTGTATAAATAATATTATGTAATAATAAATAATGAAAGTCAAAATATTTTTTTTATTTTTAGGTTTTGTTTAAGTAGTTTGTATTTATCGAATGTAGTTTCCTAAAATGTTAGGCTTTTTTCTTGAAGACGCCAAACAGCAGAAATCGATAAAGAAAACTAGGATTTAAGAACGGTTCTTCTAACTTGATGAAAATGTTTTTTTTTTTTAAAATAATATAGTTCGGACTTACCATTTCTCTTTTTACAAATTATTGTAATACTATGTATATAAGTAATGCCTTTTATGGAGGAAGCTTTTTCTGCAAAGGCGTGCATAGCCGTTTGCCAATAATTTAAAGCCGAGCCACATTTCTACACCGCACTGCACTTACAAGTAATTCAATCCATTGACAGTCATATTTCAATATAAATGTAAATTTTCATATTTATATACATATGTATGTATGTGTGTGTGAGCGTGTACTTATGCCACGAAATGTGCCATTTCTTTTATTATCGCATAATAAAGCAGCGGCAAATGCAACGTCATAAAAGAATCAAAAGCGAACGTGACTTCTGCTGGCCCCAAAGCTCTCGAAAGATAAAACTGCAATCCAACCAAGACGCTGGCATGCCAACCTGAGCTGCTCGGCGGCCAAATTGGAGGGGCGTTATTAAAGCGACAGTAGCACTCGAAGTAGACGTAGAGGACGCAGAAGGAGAGGAAATCGTGCATTTCGAGTGCCAACAGTGCCGGGCATTAGCATTATGGCCAGCAATCAAACGGCGAGGCCCGGTCACATTTTGAGCAATTGGCACGCTTTGCTGACACCGCCATCGCTGCTGCTGGCGGTGCTCATCATGGTGTCGCAATTGCTATTCCTGTTGCCTGCAACGACGATGGCGGCACCCACCCCGTCGGCCATATCCACATCCAAGCGCTGTGCACACAAAGGCATCGGCGAACTGATACGCACCAGTCCAGTGATTGTGAAAGCGCTCGGCGCGCGAATTTTCAGCGACGTTGAGCTGAATGAGAATGCACCGGAACATGCGGAAGAGGGTCGCGACTCACCCGCCATTTTAATAACATTAACGCCCGAGACAATATACAAAGGTGCCTCGCTCCTAAAAATGGCCAACGGTGCGCCAGACAGAGACGCCATTGGACCCGCTGCCTTGGGCAGTGTCACTCGCCATGGCAACGTGGCCGGCGGCGGGGGCAGCGGCAGCGCTTGGAGTGCCGAGTCAGCATATCAGTATGAGGGGTAAGTTGCTAAGGGGTGTGAACATTAAAATGCTGCTGACTAAAATATTTACACACACCCATTCCATCTCCCTCACACACACACGTATTTTGATACTTCCTCCTAGGCAATTAAATGCCACACTACAGCCACTGGCGTGCTTCGATGCCAATCTGCTGAAACTGCTGCCCACGGAATTAATTGCTTTCGGCAAATTGCTGCCTGCGACTGCCACTGCCCCAGCTGCAAGGCTGTTGCAGCATCCACAACAAATGCCCTCCGACATGGCCGAGAAGGATGTGCTGCATATCAGCATAAATGGCTTGCATCGCTGGACGCAGCAATTCGAGAACCACATCTGGAAGCACTTGGGTAAGTTTTAGCTTAGAGACGGCCGAGTGATAATATCTAAAGTCACGGCTATTAACAAAATGGAAACAATTTAACAATTGATATATTATGGCATTGTAATTGTTATTATTACAAATCTAAATTAGTTGACGCAATGACCATTATAATTTCACTATTCTGGCTGATAAATGAAATTTTTAGATTCTGCAAGGAGAACTTCCTTCATGGAATAAACTTTCGGGTTGATTTCTTTCTTTCAAATAGTTTGGCCATGTTTTGCAAAATTTGTATGAGACATGTGTTATCAGCTGCTAGGAGAAATTTATCTTATTAAATCAAAGGTTCCAAGAATATAACATACAAATTCAGCTGATTTCTTCTTTATATACTAGTAAGCTGTATGAAAAAAAGTATAAAAAGTGTTTTGTATTTTCCGTTTATTACAAAAAAAACAAGTAGTCTTGGAAGATTCTATTCACAACATTTAATGAAATGAAGTGAATATTCGGCCACATTTTGCTGCAGCAGTTTTTGGGCAGATCGTGTTAATAACTAAGTATGAGGCAGACTGTTAAGTAGAATTACTTTTCCTTCTCTACTTACTATTTTTTCTTTTAGCCTGTTAGATCTATAATGTCTTTGACCACATATGGCAGTGATTCGGGGCATAGCTGGCCAAATGGCCAACGGGTCGGAGGCATTAATAGACGTTATTGTATAGTTTTTTCTTAGGCTTTCCTATCTTTAAAATGAAATGTTAACGTTGTATTATTAAATATCTTTATTTTATTTTCTAATATTATATTATAATATAAATCATAGTTTTTGAATATGTATCGACAGCACTATTTGTTGATCTAATTAATAAATTAAAAAATAAAAAATTTTCAAATAGAAATTGTCAACATAAATGCTTAGTTGATCCAACACAGCAAGCAAATTAAATTGTATTAGAAAATTTAGGAGAAACTGGATGCTTAATTTGATTATTCTAGCTCTTCTACTTTCTGAAATTCTTCCGTTTATACAGACAGACGGACATTATATAGACTCGCCTTGTCATACTGAACAAGAATGTAAGAATAATTATATACTTTGTGGGGTCTGCCACGCCTCCTTCTATGTAACTATATTATGGGCATAAATATCACAAAAAAGCAAACTTGACAATGAAAATGCAAATACGTCAGTGATGCTATTATTAGTAACTGGTAGCTGGGGAAGTAACTATCTACTGGTAGCAAGCCACTATCTGCTATTCAAGAACCTATAGCGATTGTTAGGCAATAAAGTAATCGGAACAAAGCGTTGCAGTCAATGTCAAGCTTAAATAATTCAATATTTATTTTATGCTATTATTAGTGACTGGTAGCTGGGAAAGTAACTATCTACTGGTAGCAAGCCACTATCTGCTATTCAAGAACCTATCGCGATTGTTAGGCAATAAAGTAATCGGAACAAAGCGTTGCAGTCAATGTCAAGCTTAAATAATTCAATATTTATTTTATGCTATTATTAGTGACTGGTAGCTGGGAAAGTAACTATCTACTGGTAGCAAGCCACTATCTGCTATTCAAGAACCTATCGCGATTGTTAGGCAATAAAGTAATCGGAACAAAGTGTTGCAGTCAATGTCAAGCTTAAATAATTCAATATTTAAACGACGAGTATGGAAGAGAATCGCATACGGCAGCCATGTGATAACTTGTACTAAAAGTGTCCATTACTAGATGAATTTCTCAGCATACATAACGCCGTGCCATTCTCAGCGATCAGCTTATGTGTCTACTAACATAAACCCTTATCTTCGGCTTTATAGTGCAAATAGGCGAATGGATTAGTGTCTATTGGAAGTATAAAGAAAATAAACGAAAGCACGCGATTATTGTCGCCACACACAAATGATTTATTAAATCCACACTTACAAGATAGAGCTTTAGATTAAATTACTTATTTACATATACCTAGTATCTGCGACTTATCTATGTATGTATATACATCTATTCTTGCCACGGGGCTAAGTACTTGTACTTCTCTGTGATGAAATCGGTGAACACAAAGGCGTAGAAATTTAGAGAGTGTTATTTGAATGTGCCAGCGCGTTCTGACGACATCTGTGGCGATTAACTAAGTCGGTTCACTTTACGGCGGCTATAATGACTTTGATATTTTTTAACTGAACATTCAAATAAGTCGTAAAGTCTAGGGAACCAGACGCGCATATAAATGCAAACCAATTCGCGCGTCGACGCTTTGTTAACCAAGAACCATGGGCGAGATCGCAAACCACGAAGACTTTCATCCGGCACCACAATGGCTTACCGAGTCCTATTTGGAGCCCATTCTGCGCAAACACAAGCAGGATGCGGGTCTAGAGATCACAGATTTGATCATAAAGCCCGCTACAGCCAAAGGTGAAAACTATGCCAGTGTTATGACACGCGTCCGCGTCGAATTCGTTCGCTCTGATACCAAAGTCAGTGAGAGTGCGTGTTACATTGTGAAGACCACCTATGAGAATGATCCCTTTGTGGCCAACATATTCGCCGGCTATAATGTGACCAACACCGAAATGTTTATGTACGAGAAGGTGTTGCCCAAGCTGAGCGAAATCTTGCGAGAAATTGGCGACAACGAGAAAATCTTTGCGGAAACATTACATGTGGACTACGAGCATGCGGCAATTATTTTCGAGGATCTGGCTGTTCTTAACTTTCAATTAGCCGATCGTTTAGCTGGCCTCGATTTCGAGCACACTCAATTGGCTTTGAAGAAATTGGCCAAGATGCATGCCACGGCTGCTGTGCTGAACGAGCGCAGACCGAATATGCTGACTAGATTTGAGCGCGGTCTGTTCAATCGTCACACCAAAGGTTTTGGGCCGATCTTTGAGAATCTGGTGGGTGTGGCGGCAGACTTCGCAGCCACATGCTCCGAGCTGGGCAATGAGTATCAGCAAAAATTGCTCGATTTGAAGAAACGAGTTGTGGAATATGCCACACAGGTCTACGATCCGCAACCGGAACACTTTAATACTCTCACTCATGGCGATTTCTGGGTGAACAACATTATGCTGCGCTATGACGAGCAGCGCAAACCACAGGACATGGTCCTCATCGACTTTCAATTCTGCAGCTGGACCTCGGTAGCTGTGGATCTGCACTACTTCCTCAACACCTCCATACAGAATGACTTGCGCTTCCAGCAACAGGACGCCCTTGTAAAATACTATCACGAAGTGCTGGTTGGAACCTTACGAGCTCTCAAATTTGAGGGATTTATACCCTCGCTGCGACAATTGGTGCTGCAGGTGGAATCGGGACGATTTCTGGGTAAGATATCTCGCAACACAAACCTGTAGCAGTCTTCTACAATAAATTTTCTTTGCTTCAGCTGTTACTTCGTCATTAGTCTGCCAGGCTATAATGATCAACGATCAGAATGCGGATGCCGACTTTAATGCGCTTGTGAAAGAAGATGAGAGGGGTCGCAACTTCCGCAAGCTCCTTTATAACAACAAAAAGTTGCAGGATAACGTAAAGCGGGTACTGCCAGTATTCAATCGCTGTGGCCTGCTGGATGTTGTGGATTAATCTCACAACAACATAGCTGTGATGTTCAGATTGCAACGAAATTGTTTCCATGTTCGGTCCAAAACTAATATTATGAGTATATTTTCTTATCTTAGTAAGAGTGCATGTAAATATAAATTTAACAGTTTATACATATAACTAATATAGAATTTCCTTTCTCTTGGAAAAGAGAATAAATATCAACAAACACATATGTGTTTACCTCATGAATTGTTGCTCCAATCCAAGAGTTTTAAATAAAATTGTTAAATAGAATAATACAAAATTAAATAAAAAGAGTGCATGTAAATATAAATTTAACAGTTTTTACATATATATTAAAAATATAGAATTTCTTTTTTAGGAGAAAAGAATAAATATCAACAAACAAATATGTGCTTACCTCATGAATTGTTGCTCCACTCGAAGAGTATTCAATAAAATTGTTAAATAGAATAATACAAAATTAATATTACGTTTTTCTTTTCGGCAATAAAAAATACATATATTTTAATAAGAGTGCATGCTAATATAAATTTAACGATTTTTACATATAATTGAATATAGAATTCTTTTTTTTTGGAAAAGAGAATAAATATCAACATACAAATATGTGTTTACCTCATGAATTGTTGCTCCAATCCAAGAGTTTTAAATAAAATTGTTAAATAGAATAATATAAATTAGTAAAAATCAATAACTTTATTTCTAAAATATAGTACATTTATCTTTCATCTACCTCTAAAGTCCGCATTTGCTCCAACAACCTCCTTGCTGCTATTTATTTTCTTAAAGCGGAAAATCACGCGAAACGCTCATCACTACTTTTAACTCTATTTGTGGGAAATGTCGGGGCTACTTATGTTGTGTGTGTGTGTTGTTCCTTTTCCGTTACTTAATCGCCTTTGACCCGCTAGTTGGATTGTTCAAATTTCTATGCTAGTTTTGTCTTTCAGCAACGTTTTCCTGACGGGAACTTTTAATTGTAGCTTGCAGCCAAAAATAATTGAAGGCACACACTGTGCACCTTTAAAGCCTCAATTGTGTCGATTTTGCACACAAAATGGCAAGTCTTTTTGGTACTTTTTGCTGCACTAAAAAAATTGATTTTACGAAGACTGATAGACTCGGCACTTGGCCCTTAAGTATCCACGCAACTAACAGAAATTATTAAACAAAAATGTACTACGTGTATGCGTATAAAAAAAAGCTGAAGAAATGTATATATAGTATAGAAGTATATACATACATATATATAAATATATATATATATATATATATAGGTACCATAAATAAAGTAGATTTTTTTTTGATGACGTGGCATAACAAGCGCTCATCGAGGCATGGAACAGGCGTCTGCTCAGACGGGCAACAAGGACGAGGCGCTTTCAAACAGACTGCAGCACTCGAGGGAAGTAACACTTGACTTTTGTGTCAAGCGACGGGACACATACACACATACACTGTTACACACACACACACACCGCAGACTTGGGCGGCAAATTGCGGCAACATTACAAGAGAAGCTTTGAACATGGAGGGCAACAGCAGCAACAGCTCTGCAAAAGACATAAAATCCAGGCGGCTTGATGTTTCATTTTTAGTTTAAGGCTGCCTGCCGTCTTGTTTACAAACGAATTTTCGCCAGCAAATTGCGGTAATAAAAACGCCTTACAAATCCCTCATTTCCGTTTCAGCCATGTACTTAAATGAACAGAATTTTATAAAATTTAAATTTAAAATTTCAAGCACAAAATAAAGAAAATAACACAACGCTATAAATTATTGCCTGCCTATTGATCAGATTCAACATTTTGAATGCAGAAAATATTTAGGAAACAGTATAAAACAATTCGGAAAACAAAAGCTGTTTCAAGTCTTATACCACACAATTTTTTATTAAACAGTGTAATTGAAACTTTGCTTAAAAAGATTTTAACAAATGTTTTTTGTAGCAAAAATATAATATATTTTAACACTGAACGCTCTAAAACCATCAAAACAAAACGAAAAATTTAACAATACTTATAAGCAGAGATTAGGAATTTAACTTGAATTCAAAGTCTTGCTGCCAATTGATTATAAGATTGCAAACTTATTGTGGGTCTCACAAATAGAACCTTCAATAAAAAATATTTATATAACTTCGTCCTTTCCATACAAGTATTTAAGATAGTGTCGTAATTTTCATAGCTCTGTACCGACTGCAAAATACAATTTAGAACTCATTTGCAAGACCTAACATAGAAACTTTCTGCATTGTTTTTCGAAAGAGATACCTTTAGAGATCCTTCAAAATTTAGTGGACTCAGTTCCAAGACGTCTTCAAAAAGTTATCGAAGCCATTTTATTAATGTACCATCAATTTCCTTTGTTTGGTTTATTATTAAGCTTTGCTTTTTTGTTAATATCTATTGTCAAAATACTTATGCCAACCCATGAAATTTAGCTTGATTTATAATTTTAAAAGCTTTTATAAAAATATCTCCTTTGAATTATTTTTAAGTTTGTTATACCAACATGTATTTGAAAAAAAAAGTTTCCTTTGATATCTTAAACCAATAACCAGTTATTGACAAAAATGTATGATTTTCTTCTCGTCAAAATAATTGTGCCGACCAGTGTATATAATTACTATATTATTTTCAGTTAATGACGTATTCTCGTCTATGACATTAGCTAATTGGAGCTCAACATTCATAAATTTCAGGCTGGGACGATTGGAGTGATTTTACGCTGTGTAGTGTGACGTGCGGCAAAGGTGTTCAGCAACGTTTTCGACGCTGCCTGCTGGACAATCCGCTGGTGGACATTAACATGAACATGAAGCTAAGTGACAGCGAAGACGACGATGATGAGGACGAGGACGATGAAGAGTTGACTTCCGAGGAGGCGAATGGCCAGCAGTTGACCGACGAGGCGAATAATGATGTCAGCGATGGCGTCACTGCTGCCTCGGTTGCCTCAACTGCCGCTCCTGCAGTCTATGAGCGTGAGTACAATGCTGATAATAATGAAGTGGACAACAACGACAACAACCTGCTGATGAAGCAAAAAGCTGGCAGCAGCAGCAGCAGGACAACGCAGTTCGAGGACGAGGACACAGTCTCCCAGCCACAGCCGCTGCCGCCGCTGACTTTGATAAAAGAGCAAACGGACGAAATGTTGCATAAATTCAACCAAATGACAGCGCCGACTGCGACGACTACAACTTCACAGCCGAAGCGGACATATGTGCTGAGTGGAAGTAAGAGTGCGAGCGCGAGTGGGAATGGGAATGGAGGTGCGGGTACGGGCCCGGATCCGAAAACAAGCGACAGTAATGAACAGGAGCCAAGTGTCAGCTTTGTGTCCTCATCATCGTCCGCATATTCCTCGACGAGTGCACATAATGATAGTTCCCACCCATGGCCACGTCCGCCTCTGCCTCCGCCTCCACGTCCACTTCCACGTGCAAATCGCCAGCATAAAAAACGCAAATCAGCAAAGAGTCTGTCAACGCTGCTCTGCGAGGGCTACAACATCGAGCAGCGGAACTGCAACAGTTTCGAGTGCAGTGGTAGGTCTGAAGGAAGTGGGGATTTGTCAGAATCAGCGTCACGTAATTGAACTTAAATCCATTCTGCATTTTCATTCTTCTTCTGTCTCAGATGATATCAGTGATTTACTGAAATTCTATAAGAAGTTGCCCGTCTTCGAAGAGCTGCCACCGCTGGCCACCGCCGACTATAACTCCCCACTGGCAGTGTCCATCCCGCCAGCTGACAGTAGTGGCTCCGGGGCCGAAGCTTTGTCCTTTGAAAGTTTGGGTGTGACGCCGCTCCAGCCCTCGTCCACACCCTCAAACATGGGCTACATACGCAACTGGCGAAATGCTTTGAACTTTACATTAATGATCACGCTGAGAGCAAAGGTAAGTGGAAGGGTTCATTTCATTAGAGGACTATATTCTTCCTAGTGTACCACAATACTTGAATGTAACTCTTCAATGAGATTTTTAGTAGCGAACAAATTGTTAAAGGAATTGAAAGATAGCTTCGTAATCATTTGATTTGAATTAGTTGTGTATTTTTTATAACAATTGCTTGAGGAATGTTAGCCAAAAATTGCACAAATTGTTTGTTTTTATATATGAACTGCAAATTCTTGAATATCTCAAGGATTGCGAGCTTAAAAATACTTGACCTTCTCTAAAGCACATTATTTTCCTCATTGGGTAGACTTTAATAAAAAATACTCTATAAAGGTAAGACAGGCAAATATTTTGCACACAAAGAATATCATGAAAATAACTTGATTTGGACTTCTTGTAGTATTGAAATCAAAACTTAAACTAAAGAATCTCTCAAGAATTGCGGGCTTAAAATACTTGACCACATTATTATCCTTATTGTGTAGACTTCACACAAAAATGCTCTATAAAGGTTAGACAGGCAAATTTTTTGCACACAAATAATGTCACGAAAAATAAACGATGGTTATTGTTGAAAGGAACTTGATTTGTAATATTCCTGTTTGCTGTTTAGGACTCAATATTGGTAAATTGAAATCAAAACTTAAACTAAATAATGTCTCAAGAATTGCCAACTTAAAAGACTTGACATTCTCTAAACCACATTAATATCCTTATTGTGTAGGCTTCACACAAAAATACTCTACATATATAGGTTAGACAAGCAAATATTTAGCACACAAATAATGTCATGAAAAATAAACCCAATCGATGGTTATTGTTGAAAAGCACTTGATTTGGACTATTTTTATTTGCAGCTTAGAACTCAATTTTAGTAAATTGAAATCAAACTAAAGAGGAAAAGAGGAAACAGGTTTTTATTTTGCAGAAGAACTAAGGTTATTTTGTTTTAACAATTTGGCAGCCCATATTTTACGCAATTTTATTGTTGCTGTGCAAATTATTTACACGTCTAATCAAGAAAGCAAACCCCGCCCCAAATAAAAACTCTAGCCAGTTTTCGTTCCGGCAAAGCAGTGTCGTATTAGGGGTCTACCACTTATATTGCCAGCTGCTTCTGTAGCGAAGGGGCCATAAAGCACACTTATCTTCATTTATGAACACTTTTACAGAACGATACAAAAAATACGGCAACTATTTTCTCGATCCGCAATGCCACGCACAATCTATATCTGGAGGCGTGCAAAGATGGGCTTCGTTTGTATTTGGAGCGTGACAATACGACGGAAATGTTGCCGGTAAAATTCAATTTATATGATTATCGATGGCATCAAGTGGCTATCAGGTATGCTCTACACTCTTTCCACATACATTTTTGCATGTGTCTCTGTAGGTGTGCGTGTGTGTGTGTGGGTGTGTGTGTGTATCTGGTTGTGGTTGTGTTTACGTTTGCCTGCAGTTTAAGAGGCGCTGTCAATGCTTTTTGCTGTTGATTGGCAATCAGAGCGTGCGCTACTGTGCAAATGTACGTGTATTGCTGTGTATTTGTGTGATTGCGGGGTGTGTGTGTGTGTGTGTGTGTTTGCGGACTGAGTGCCTGTTGATGGTCGTCAATGGCGACACTTTCGTTTTATTTGCATTTTCAATTTATTAGCATAAATGTTTGTGCCATGAATGGCACACATACGCAGACACCAAACATGGTCTACAAACACTTTGGCACGCACTTGACACACATGCAAATAGCACACACACACACACACACACACACACACATACAGACGCATTAATATCGCACATGCAATATATGTATGAACGTCGAAGGCCTTTTTCTGCATGCTTCCCCCACTCACACACACACACACACATATATAAACTGACACTTTGGTTCAAGTAGACGCCATTTGTCACGACTGTCGGTCCTCCAGCAATTTTTACAATGCATGCTTGTGTGTGCGTGTGTGTGTGTGTGTGTGTGTGTGCGCGTTTTAATTAATTTCGCTTTGTTTTTCACCCTCTATGCTTAATTTTTGTACAGCATACAAAATGGCGATTTCATATCGATTTACGTCGACTGTTCATGGACAAATAGTTTTGTCGTTTCGCGGCGCCTCTACACGTTGCCCCTGGACGCGGATGTGGAAATTGGACGTGGCTTTAATGTGAGTATTGGGACAAATTCGAAAATAATTGGCCAAGAGGCATGTGCGACAATTCAAGCGTAGCTTCATGGCATCCAAAAGCGACCATAAATTTCGCGCCAGCAACTGTTTTTTATATAATATAAATGGTGTTGGGTGCAACGTTGCGTATACGAAATGTGCGTCCTGCATTCTGCTGATAACGCATACGCACCATTGCGCAATTGAAATGCCAATTAAATAATAAATCGCCCGCACACTAGTCGACAAAAATAATTGAACATAAAAACATATGAAAGGCCATTAAACGAATTCAATCAAACGTTTAGTTTAAAATTCCCAATAATATTGAACAACAACAAAAAAGAATTAGCAATTCGTTTGACGAAAATACTTAAAGATACACTCGTGTGCTTAAAATGATGTTTTATTTTAATCTACATTTTTGTAATTATTATTTTTTGAAACACCAAAGCTAATGAAAATCGCTAAAGGTAAACATTTTGCGGGTTAATAACACAGATGAAAAAAACAAATTAGTGAAGTCTTAGGAAAATATTTAAATAAATACAAGTACAAAATAAGAAATTGCATAAAAATGTTGAAATATGTGGAAATTGATTAACTGTAAAACATTTTAACCAAATAATTTAAAATTTTGCTTTTAAAGGGAAATGTTCAACCATTTACACATTTTTTTTTTTTCAAAATATTAGTTTATTTTAAGGGAACTGGTTTGTAATTGATAATCAACGATGGTAGGAAATTGATATGTTAAATGAAAAATAATATTGAATAATTTGTAATTAAAATGATATGAGATCTGAGTGTAGTTGCATTTCACATTTTATAGAATATTTGCTGCCTCTGTATCTTATTTGTATTGGAGCAAAAGAGGAGTTTACAACATTGAGGCAATGCCACGTTCATTTTGTAATTAAAATGATTTGTCTTTAATTGAAATGATTACAGTAATTAAAATAGTTGAGAATCACTTGAAAGTGTCGAATTACGTCTGGCGACTATTGTTAAATATGTGTGTGTCTGCACGCTTCTTACACAACAACTTTCGCTTTTATCCATTTCATGGGACGCTGCAGGGCGAGCTTCAACAACTGTTGGTCCTGCCGGAGCATCAGGAGAGACTGCAGTGCTCCAACAAACGCACATCCATCAATGAGGTTAAGCGCTATATCATCGACACGTTCATCGACGACTATGGTGGCAATTGAGGCGGCAATTGATTTCGTCATCATTTGCACGCACGAGCGGGCAAAAGTAAATCAAATTAAAAACCATTGCATGCAAACAGCATAAAGCATACAAACATACGAATGTATGTACGTCGAGGCGTGTGTACTATATTGATAGAGTAAATAAAAGTACAGATACATATACATGCATATATGGCAGCAAGTTAATGCAGCGTTTAATTTGCATTCATATTGTATTATTGGATATAAGTATTACTATAATAGCAAACATATATACATGCATATATAAATATATTGTGATTCATGTTTCCTAGCAGCGCATTAAAAATTATGTAAATTACAAATGTGTGTGGCAGTATGTATATCATATTATAATTATGATAATGCTGATAATGATTGAGAATATGTATGGCCATAATATTGCTTTGCAACGGACGACTGCATGGCGATATTTGTAACGATTAAGTTAATTTGACATAAAACAATAATTATAAATGAAAAATATATAAAAACATAAACTATAATTCAATCCAGCATTAAGACGATATATAAAAACTCAAACAAATAAATTTACGTAAATTATAAGTGGAAATGTAAAATGTGTTTTTATTCTTTTTTTATAAATCTTTATTTGCATGCTGATAAAAGATTCTTAATTCCAGAAATATTTATCGAGAAATTCCAGAAATATTTATAAGCCTGAAATAGCATGGAATTTCATTAACTTGCTTTCTCCATTTTAATTCTAGAATAACTCTATTGATAATAATACGATGTTGAGCATCAAAATATTTTGAATCTTACTTATTAGTTTAAAACTTTTGAGGACGAAACATTTGATGCTTATAGAATGCTTTGGTTCTCCATTTAGCCAAGCATATAACATTTAAACAATATTTCCACATTAACATTTTTATTCTATTATTTAAAAACAATTTCAATTTAATTTTAAATTAAGGAGAAGAAAAATTATTATGGGAAAACAGACACGTACATTGCATCTTAGACTTAACTAACTTCACATTTATTTTCAGTACCGACATATCATGTTTTCTCGCTCCAATTTTTTTGGCCAGCGCTTTTACATACAAGCGGACCGACTCGTCTGGTAATGTTTAAAAAAAAACACTATTTATTTTTTTTCCTTGAGTCTGTTAGTCTCGAAAAAATATTAAAACAAAATTTTTTCATCAGTACGTAGATAAAGTAATTGTAGCCAAATATTGTAATCAAATACTTTCAAATGCCCTTTTTTTAATTCAAATTCCGTAGAAAAGAATTGCCATCATCAAAATGTCATCATACATGACAACTTCGTAACCAATTTAATTATCTCTTGGTTGTATCGAATTCAAATATTGCTAAGCCAGTGCAAAATGTGTGTGTAGATGGCATATAATGTAGCAATTGAATTTTTGTTCTTGCCGCGCAGAAAGCCCCAATGAAATGTATCCCTTTCAAGGTGTATGCATCACTGACTGGCGCTCCTCCTCATTTTCGACCATAACGCGAGGACGAGCATGTGAATTTGCATATTGTTGGAACACAATGAATGCGAGTACGCTGAGGTGCCGGATGGTTTAAGGGGAAATGAAGGTAAGTAAGCTCCTGGCCATGTCTGCGTTCTACTCGCTTTCTAGTTTTGTGAATGCGTGCGCTTGACTGATTTGACAAAGGATCAAATTGTTAATATCTTCATGCTGTCAGAGTGCCACTCACAACGGAGCACACAGCTTTACGGAAGTGGACGTAAGGTATAGATATAAGCGTTGAGTTGGAGGGACCTTACACTTATTTTAAACAATGTACGAATTTGTTCAAGTCCTTGGTGAAAACTAAAAGGCTGATTAACATTTAAGGTATACAAAATACAGCAACATTTCAGATGCAGACTAAACATTTAAGATGATTAGCAAAAATGTTAAGAATATCAATCAAATTACTATATAGTGAAAGGGGGCCCTGAAGAAAAGCGGCTATAAATAAAAATTTTTAATTTTTATATCCTATACCCAAAGGGTAAATGCATGAAACAGATAGAAGGATCCCACAAAATATATAAATATATATATACTGGATTAGCATGACAAGATGAATCGATACAGAAATAAATGTGTGGATCGTGTTAGATATGTTTATTATGTATGCATTTGGTTTCTATTCATTATATGTAAATTTAGTTTATTAATCTCATTTTGATACATATGTTGAAAAGATACGTTTCAAGTTTCGTGCATTTATTTAGATTCGCGATCTGCCCATGACTATTGTTTAAATATTAACCCATAAAACAAACTGCCCATATGCACAAATGTATATTGATTGCCAGCCTTAAATCAATAAACATACATACTTATGTATGTACTCGTATGTATGTATTATTCAATTATGTTGCCGCTCGTTGCACGTCAATTGGCAATTTTTGTTGATTCATCAAAAATGTGCACTATATTATTACACAAAAACCAATAATAACACAAAACAATAAAAATGTATTTTTATGCCGTCAAAGAAAAGTACAGAAAAAAAGCAACAACAACAAATGAGCCCTGGGGAAATAAAACGGTTCGTGCACCCTATTTCAGAACAAACAAAGCATTATTTATAAATGCAATGCAAACCAATTATTTACCACACTTTATTTTGTTTATTGATGGATTTACAATCATTTTCAAATTTATGTAAAATTTTAAAGTATTTTTGTTGCAATTCCTGATTTTAATTGGACGATCATGCAACCGCGCTTTTCAATTCACCGTACATATAAAATTAAATCGTTGGCAACACTATTGCTGACCAGGGTTGTAGTTTTGAATTTAAATTACATTTAAAAGAGAGCTATTGAACCCGCAAATACAAACAGAAAAAATAACAAAAACTATAAACAATTTAATTTTTTATTATAATTGTTGTAATTGCTGCTTTTATGGACGATCATGCATTGCGCGTTTCAATTAACCGTTCATATGAATTGAAATCGTTGGCAACGCTATTGCTGACCAGGGCTGTAGTTTTGAATTTAAATTTCATTTCGAAGTGAGCAATTGAGCCCGTAAATACAAACAGAGAAAATAACAACAAATATAAACTATTTATTTAATTTGTTATTTTGTTTTATTATAAATTTGACATATTTTATAACGTTCCCTACCTATTTTCTCTCCTAAAATTTAATACAACTGGCTGGAAGTGCTTTAACCAAACTTATACAGAGCAATAGAGAAAGAGCAAAAGGCAGAATCAACAACAAAATTCATAATTTCCTCCTCGCTTAAAAAGCCGCAGTTGCTTTACTTCCGTTTGCGCGGTTTGTCCTTCGGCTCCGGCACGTAAATAACGTCTCCTGCTTCGCTCCTCGATGCTCCCCAGCCTGCCTGACTGCCTCTTCTATGGCCACACCCACACTCCGTGCCACAGACTCGTAGGCAATTTCAAGCTCTGGTGAAAAATGTCTCCGCACTGGGGCACGAGCAGCAGGCAGAGACATTGATGAATTTCCTGTCGCATCTCGAATGCGCCGCTGCAAGTCCTTGCGTGCTCACCAACCGGTCTGACAGTCGACCGACAAGCACCTACACCAGGACTGCAACGACTGACAACGTCAAATAAAAATAAATTTTTATCTACACAAATGTCTATCAAGCTGTTGCCTATTGTGACTTTATAATTTCCTACTCATGTCGTTGCGGTGCATTGAACTGCACTCCAGAGAGTGGCACTGGAGAGCGGTACTTTAAACTGATGTTACTGCACTTCCCATGTAGTTACTTGCACGTATATGTAATTAAAATTAACGCTATATATATTTAGTGTACACAGTTTGTACGAACTTGGGTTGGGTTGGCATGCCAATGTAAATCGCATGTCCCCAAATGTGGCAATTAGTTACGGAGCAATCAATATACAAGTACTCCTAGTTGGCCAACCTATTGAAGTGCTGGATAGGGTTGTGCCATTTTTAATACAAATATTTGAAGTAATTGAATGATATACAGGAGTAGAAAGGCATATTCATTTCAGTTATAGTTAAACTTTCAATTTAAGTTTAAAAATATTTCAATATTCATATTCTACTAGTCAGTTTAATTTTGGCTTAGTTTTCGAAAACTTAGATGTGTTCATATTTTAAATGCATTATTCAAGTTCCCCAGATTTAATATTTTATATACAGTTTTGAAACTTTTAAAGTGTTTTTTATAAACTCGTTAGCTTATTACAAACAAGTATACAAATATACCGAGCCAAGAAACGTAATTAAATTGAATTTATTTATAAAATGAACGAAAGGGCTTATCCCTACTCAATATACAAGTATGTATATGACAAGAATTTCTATATCGTTAACAGAAATCAAATGCAAATCTGTAAAAGGAGGCATTAAACATGCAATATACAATACTTGATTGACATTTTTGTGCCATTAATCTTTTGTTTAAATGCAATGTAATCTAATCTGATTTAAAATAATTTTTATATCAAAAACAATACAATTTTTATACAATAAATTCATAACTTTCAACATAATATGCGGACCATAATCAAATCATAATAATCACATACATTTTCAGAATATTTGAAGTTGAATTTTATAAAAAACAATATCGAGGATATTATAAAATGTTAATGTCATGGCTACTTATTAAGTTTTTTCTTCTTTTTGAAAGTATTATTTTATAGTTAAGGTGTTATTTATAGTATGTGCTCTTTCCGTGTCCAATTACAAAAACTATTTTTGCACGAAAAATTAATGAAAATTTGTTGTCGACGAAAATCTCCGTGTATCCATCATGCTGTCTTCCGGATAAAATAATTTTAATATACCTTTGCTTTCAGCTTCAGAAACATAATTGGCTGACCTTATCACAATTGAACTTTAAAAACTATAACTTCTATCATAGCTTAATCTTAAAATATATTCTTTCATTCAAAAAGTTTCCGCCTTCAAAACTTTGCGAAAAAGTCAACATTTTAAATTGCTTTATCATTTCTCATTAAAATCTTTCTGCAGCATTTCGTCGCGAAACGCAATCTAAATTTAATGCATTGACAATTTCTGGCACACTTTGCCGTTTATTTCTGGCGCAACATGTTGCATTGACCCCCTCGCCCCTCCCCCCTTCCCCCACCATCGTCTTCTTGCCCACTCTGTCGCATTCTTTCACAAATCACAGACGTAAATCTCGGCAAGTTTGGCTAAAATAAAAAAAATGAGCAAGAGCCAAGGCGAAACCAACTGACGACTTAAGTAATTCATTTAAAAGTTTTGTAAAAGCAGAAGAAAAAAAAAATGTATATATGAGATTTACACACACATTAATGGAAGCAGCATGTACATTTATATAAGTACAATTTTATTTATTTATGACTGCGTTGGGAACAGAAACAGGCACCAGGAAAAGGCAGTAGAAAGAAAGGACTTTCGCACGGCTTCACGCGCACAAATTTCTCCTTTCGTATTTGTCCGATTTCTTCTTAGCCCAGTTTCTTGGCTTACTTGGCTGCCCCGCTTATGCATTTGATGACCGAAGCTGCATTTAACCAGCTGGAAGGCAAGCGATATTACATTAACGCTTCCGTTCATAAGCACCGAACGCTTTGCTTACATAAGTGTTTTGTTTTATAGATGCTGTTTATATATGTATAACAATTTATTGTTATAAAAACTAAAAGCACAGCAAGACATTCGTGAATATCCTTTACCCTGCCTTTACGTCTGTCGACTAAAATAAACTTTGGTTGCACAAAACTTTCATATTTTGATGAAACTGCTGGATATGATGAGGCCTTATACGGAGCTCATAATACCCTAAATAGATATAATTATAAGACAGACATATTTATAAACAACAAAGTTCTACTTCTATTCTGTTCACACCTGATAAGCAGAAACTGTTGAAAACCAATGGACCAAAAGAAGAGAATCCAGTTCAAAGGAAATGGGAAATAGTCTTATCGGCAGCTAAGCTATTGGAGTTAGTTTTGTTGTTGAGATATGATTTGTAAAATGTCATTAGGGAAAACAATTAACAGAAAGCATTTCACAAACCCATTTTATTGTTTCAGAACGACAACTTGTCGCCATTTGTTGGAAAATATGTATATTTGTAAAAGTTTAAGTTTAAATTAATTTCCCTCACCTTTTGCGCAAATTTAGAATATTTTCTTTTAAAATTATTTATAAAATTTATTCGGCAAGCAAAAAATGAATAAATAATAAAATAAACAAACAAAATATACTTGAAACTATTGTATTACATCGGCAAAATGTTTCGAGTTATTCAATGACTATTTTGAAAATAATGGTATTTTCCCAAAAAAATATATATATTTTTGAGTTTATAACTCCTTTTGCAACCTTTAAATTAATATGAGATAATATAATATGCCTTAAATATTTTTATATGTATCGCATTACTTATAGTTATAAAATTATAAATAATATGTGGATAGATAGATAGATACCGACAGATTTATTTCCCAACCATCGACCCATCCACTTCTCTTTTTTGTCCATCAAAAGACAACTATAAAATACTTTGAAAGTTTCTTACAATATCTAATCTAATTCATAAATTATAGTTGTATTACAATTCCACAAAATCTTCTTTAATGCACCCATCAACTTTTGTATATAAAACTAATTCATTATAATAAATCATATTATTTTTAAGTTAAGCTTAAGGCCTCGTCGCTATAGCATAACTTATCTGTAATTTTAACTACCTTTGGGCTGTGTATAAATAAATAAATTTGTGATGCTATTTTGACTTAAAATTCCAAGCCATTTATTAAAACAAAATTAAATTTTAAAAACGTAGGTCAAAATATTAGAAAAGTTAAGAATTGCTTGAAAGATATTTGTTTTTGTATTAGCGGAGTGTTTTTTAAAACTGTCCATCGAGGACAATCATTAAATTGGTTAAATATACTTGACAATTAATATCTTTAATTTATGATTGAAAGGTAATGAAAACACTACCCTACATTCCTTTAGTTGTAGTCTGGATGTACATATTTCTTCTGAGTTTTAAAGTTTGCCAAATAAACTTGATTTGAAAATGCCAAAGCTCATATCTGTGTAATCCCTAATACAATTACCATTTCCTTGTGTAGTTTCATATCTTAAATTACATTTTTTTTCGTTTTATAAGTAGTTTATGTTACAAAGTATAATATTGGCAGTGCTCAGTATTTTAATCAGCATCCTGCGCCCACGTCATGCTGGCCAAACAAGCTAAAGTGCTTTAAAGGAGCCAATGCCAGCCACTGCTCCCACTGGCTGCTACGAGTATGTAAAGTTGAATGAAATTGACCGACTCGAATAGGAGCGCCAGAGCTGCAATCCAGACGGACCAATTTCAATGGGCAGTTCAAACAGCCAGATGCGGGATGAGTTGCTGCTTCGGCTCCAGAGACTGCATAAAATGCTTTATTTGTGGAGGGCAAACAAAATGAACTGTAACAATATTGATACAGCTGACATCGAGGGGTCAAGCAAACACAAATGGATTGTTCGACGACTACAACGATGGCGAAGTTTACAACGACTCTACATCCTACAACCCACATCCCACACCACCTGTCCTCTTAACCAAGAGCCACCGATGGCGCTCCGTTACACAATCTGGTTCGTAGCCCCCTCATTTTGCAGGTTTTTCGATATCCGTGGTTAAGCACGCAAACAAAGGAGTTTCATTAACTGCGACCGCAAAAGTTGCGATTAGTTGTGTTGCCTGCACAAAAAAAATTTAAAATAAGCAGCAAAAGTTCTCATATGGGAAGCCAAAAAATAAAATCCAATTTATTCTGCTATTGTCCTTTTTCCACCGAATCAAATATTAAATGCACAGCCATAAAAATGTCATTTAATGTCGTCGAATTAAGCGATGATCGCTTAAATCCAATAAAATCTATATCAACTGCCACTGCAATGTTGTCCACTAAAGTGGACAGCGGGACGAATGGACGGACCTGCAACCGCAAATCGACAGTGCAGGATATTTTGAAGGGGTTGGAGCGGCGAATGGGAAAGGGAATGGGGAGGGAATGCCAGCTCGCATTTTTATGCATTGAAATGCAGTCGTTGACAGTCAGAATGAAGTTTGCAGCTATTGCCCCCTTCTTTTTGTGGCCAATGGCCTTGTCCGTTGCATCCCCAGCAATATCAATGCAAATTGTCCTTGGAATGATGGACTGTTTATATCCATGGCATTGGCAACTTGGCTAAGTTGTATTCAGTCCTGACTCAAATATGTGAATGAAGTCTTGTAGTTGTACATCAAACTCTTAGCACCATTTCGTCTTAGCCTTAATATTATAAGGATTAAAAGTGTGTTGGAAAGTTTATAACATTGTAGAATAGAGTATATATAACTTACAATTGGAACTTAAGCTATGCTTAATTGATTTTAAAGGTCACAAAATTTGTGATTTTCTTTCCTTGTCGCCCTCTTATTAGTAATTTGTCCACAACTACCAAAATTATGATTTCATTTAACATCTCGGTCTTTGGAACTTAAGTTGGAAGTTCATTTGCTTTGACATGAAAAAACTTTAAGCTCAAATTCAAATTCATTAATAACAAGTTCACAAATTACTGTTTCTTCCTTATTTCGACATATGCAGAATAAAACTTTAGTTTTATTTAAGACATTAATTTAATCAACTGTGGAATTTTACGAAAATAAATATAAAGCTGCAATTACAAACACAATTTTGAAAATATACCAATTTTTTTGGATAGATTAACAATAACTTCTGCATTGGGGGTTATAACGCTTATTCGGATCCATTATGTTGCGACCCCAGTGCTGCTGACATGGCCATGAGGATCCCACGAAGATTTGCGAGTTAGTCAGATCCTTCTCCTTGTCTATTTCACTTTTTCTTATGCGCTGAACTCCAACCACCATTATGACACCGGAGTATAAACGGAATGGATTACAACTAATGCGCTCGGCCCGAGCACAATCCGCACTGTTTTCATACGCCAAGTAGAACCAATTGGATTTACTGAAACACAATTCGTAGGCCCTACCCAAGGAAAGAAAGAAATGCAGCACCATATCGCGTGCCCCATGCGGAAAGCCATAAACCATTATCCAATTTCCTTTGAACACACCAAGATCTAATTTCTTACAAAAACGAGATGCAAACCTCGCCCTTTGAAGAGCAAGAGCTTCGGCGTAGAAATCGTCGAAGAGCCCCACTTGTGGCGGCCCCTTCTCAGCAAGTTCTTCGTTGTTTGGGCAAACGTTGATGCACTGCCGAGTACTCCTTATGCTCACTCGTATTGGCCTGAATCCCACATGAAATTTATCTATGCATCTGCGATATTTTGGCCATGTTCTGGAGCTGAATCTCGTCCTAAAGCTATCACCCACATGCCACATCTGTGCGCCAACTGCTGAAGTCTGTAGGTGTTCTGTATAGATAAGTGTTCGGGAATTAAGGAATTGTGTACAGTTTTCAATTGAAAACAATAGGGAAAATTTGATAGTATTCTCCTGTACTCTAAGTATAATGCAATAATAAATATAAGGTTTTGAAAGTAGAATTTTAAGCTACAAAATTTAAGACAGAAATTAGAGTTATGTACTAACTATTGTTAAATTGTTATTTAAACATTTAAAATAAAATTTATTATTTTAAATATTTTGTTTTCCTCTCATTTCTCACAACTCGAGGTACTGGAAAATTGGAAAAATTGGGAAAATACCCATAAAGGCAAACGTGCAAACACATCAAAAGACTTGATCCAATGTTAAACTGCTTGAATTTGTGAGAACGGCCACTGCTTGCTTCACTGCTGCTCTACAGTTGCGTAGCTGTCGAGGATTTAAAAACAGAGCTGCCCCATCGCTTAAGAAAAAATTAACAAAGCCACCATCGCATTTTATTTCACCACTTTGCTTTTGCTCACTTACCTTTCTAGCCCAACTGTCAGTTTGTATTTTGTGTGGAGTTAGCCAAAGTTGCTTCGGTATTTGTCGACACTTTAATATACAATCCAGCATACCGAACGACTGGACAACTGGGCGAGCACTTCAAAATACGACGCTTTAAAAGATTGGCCTCAAAATGGCATCGATTTCTACCAGCATGAAGCATATCGAGCAACTTTTGTACAATTTAAATGAGCAACGGAAAGAGGAAAAGGTTCGTTTTTTGCTATAAACTAACGACAATCCCACAACATTTGTCGTTTTCAGTACACCGATGTAACGCTCATCTGCAATGGAATAAAGTTTCCGGCGCACAAGAGCGTGTTGGCGTCCATCTCGCCTTATTTCCAGGCCATGTTCTCTGGAAATTTCATAGAGGTCAACCACGATGTCGATTTGGGCAATGATAACAATTTGGAGGCATGGAAACTAATGCTCGACTTCATCTATACGGGTCAGCTGCACTTAAGTGAAGAGAATGTCACAACATTTCTGGAGTTGGCTTCATATTTGCAGCTACAGGGAGCCCAGGATCTCTGCGTCAATTACATTAGCGACATCATGAATGAGGACAATTGCTTGGCCTTCATGCAATTGGCTCAGGCCCATAACAATCAGCAACTCCTCTCAGCCGCCAAGGCCTACATGACCATACATTGGAAGCAATTCCTGAATACCTCATCGTTTTTGGATATTAGCGTTGAAGAGGTGAGCAGAGCAATGATACGATCTAGAAGTATCTTATGAAAGTATCCGTGTACAGATACTGTCCATCCTAAGTACTGATTCCTTGAGAGTGCACTCGAATGATGACACACTCTTAGGCCTGGAGCGTTGGGCCGTCCACCGTCTGCCCGAACGCGCAGCTGAACTGCCGCAAATCCTTAACGAGCTGGAGCCTCGTAGCCTATCCAAAAGTGTTGTAGCTGGCATGAATGTGGAAGTGCTGAAAGCGAATCCTACCACGACAAAGTGGCAGCATGATTTGCTTGATCTCCCCGATCCTAATCGCAAATGGAGCATATTTGCATTGGAGTGCCTTCACCCGAAGGGCCACATTTTCTTTCAGAGATACAACTGCTATGGCAATGTGGCCAAGGCGACCGCCTTACCGCCCCATGACGATCTAGATTATGGCAGTCGCTTGGCCCTGCATGGCAGCAACATTTTCGCGCAGGGCAGCCATAAAACAGCGTACTATAGTCTGCACGATAATGTGTGGCGCAGTATTCCGGGATCACCGCTGCATCAACGGAAAAATCCTTCTGTGATCGTCCTCGATGGTGGTCTGTACACACTCGGCGGTCATTTGAATCACAATCGTAAGGTCACCAATAAAGTGGAGCGTCTAGATCTGGCAACTGGCGTGTCCCATTCGATCGCAGCCATGCATTCGGAAAGGGCCTTTGCAGGATGTGCAACCGCAAGTAAATTTTTGAATTTTTGTTACTTGTTTTTAGGTGCATTTTTTTTCAATCCATTCGAAATAAAATTCGTTAGTATATTATTGAAAAGTATATATATTGAAAAGTGATACATGTTTTTGTAGTCCACATCATTTGTTTAAATTAAAATTTTCATGAGTTCTTAAGTTCATTAATAATCCAGTAAAATCTTTTATAGTAAAAGAAACTGAAGAATTTCGAGTCTTCTTTCTTCAAATTTAACTTTTCCTTACCATTTGAAAATATCTGTATAATACTATATGTATACGTACGTATAAAATCTCAGTTTGTCAAGTAATTGTAGTTCTATAATTATTTTGCAGATGGTTGCATTTATATGATTAGCGGAGAGAGAGCTATGCAGACAGTATCGGGCGTTGAATGCTACGATCCCCGTGTCGGAAGTTGGTTTAAGCATCTGGGACCAACGCTCGGCTACTGTAGCTGTGGGGTTGTCCGGTCGTCTATCTATGTAATGGCACTGAATGCTCAATGTATTGTTAAATGGGAGCCGCGCACTTCAAATTGGCAATCAATTATATTAAGTCCCGAAGCGACCGTTTCTCAGATATGCGTTATGAATGAGAAATTGTATGGAACCAGCTCCGACAAAATAGTAGTCATTGAAGTGGACGGGGACTTTACCCTGAAGTTTATCCGCATCGAACCTATAAATGAATTTCATGAATTTTATGCGAGCACAGCGGGCAATGTGGCTGTCTAAGATTTTAAGCAATCAATTCAACCGGATTCAAATGATGGGTGTTGTCTTTAATGTTTTAAAATTGTTTGCCCAAGCCCAACATGTGATGAAGAAAATATAAATATTAAATTCTGCAATATATATATCTATATATACTTTTCTTGTTTTATTCAGATTTCAATTGCCTGCTACAATTTTGTTTGTTGTTGTCGATCTCTATACATAACATTAAATGAATTAAATAACTATTCACTTAAATCTATAAATGGTACATACGACAAAAATCTATCTTCTCGATGTGTGTTTTTAAACTGACATGTGTATGTGGTTTTATGGGTGTGTGTGTGTGTAACTGGTTTTATTTTTTACTTCCCATATGCATTTTTAATTGCTGTTTCGTTCTGCTACGATTTAATCAATTTTGGTATTTGTTGTGATTCATATTTTGACTGATAATTTCCTAAATTGTATCTAAAGATTAGCCAAAAGTGTTGTCACTATTTTGTGTGGTTATAATTTTGTTGAGTATGACTTGTGTTTTATATGTTTATGTTAATAAATATATACTTTTGTTTATTACCTGTGTCCATCCGAGTGATACATGAATTACTTTTATGTCATTGTATGTGTGAGTTGAAATGAAAATTATAAGCTCTCAAATTATTGATTGGCTTTTCCTCCAAATATTTATAAATATGTGCTATGATGTTTGTTTTTTTTCAAAGTTTTGCTGATTTTGCGTTTATTTTGAGCGATTAAACAGTAGTAGTGGGGATGTTGGTGTGTCTGTGATTAAAAATAATGAGAAATGTTCCATACATCGGTTACTTATATGTTTGAATTTACAATTGTTGATTTCTATAGCATGTCCCTTTGATTTTATGTCTAAATTACCTCTTAAGTTAGGTGCTAAAATTAATCAAACATTGTAATAGATGGGAAACGCAATCGAATATATAATTACAAAATTAAATGTTAATTTATGTACAATTTAGTTGTAGTGGCATGTACACGTACTTAATATGATTTTTTTGTTTTCTAATTATCTCTTTTTGCTACATTTTCATATACTATATGAATACTGGGTAGCTTTTGGTGCTTTTTATGCGTGGGTGTGTTTATGTGTGTGTTTAATAAATAGATATTACGTAAATGTAATTTTATGCGAAAATCTGATATTTCGAATATACATACAATTCTTCGATATTGTATTTTGATGAAATATTTCATATTGAAAATGTTTAATTGGGGGGAGGGGCGCAATTAAGTATTCAGATTGCTTATATTAATTCGTATTTCTTGGGTTTCGCGCATGTTTGACATTATTCGCATTTCGAGAATGTTATTGTGGTTTGTATAATAATTATTATTATTACTTCATTGCGATATTTCATATGTTATTATAAACCTTCATTTAATATGCTAAAAATATAGTGCATATCCATTTGTGTTCTTTGTTAATTTACAAGTAAAGGAGGTACTAATTTGTTAACACTTTGCAGTGCGCTCGGCGAAAGCTGGAAAATATTACAAGTACTTATATATACTGGTTTTCGTCTTCTTACTCTTGTCCTTTTTGTCCCATTTGTAATATTTGTTGATGTCGACAACCAGCATTCTATAATTTACAATGCCAAGTTATTTCGCCGCCCATTGACCTTATTAACTAGATTGCATATTTTTAAGGCTGGTCCCAGCTTGAGGCCCATGTACTTCATCATCATTTCCGAGTTGAGTAACAATAAAGCTTTTCCATCGATTTCCTGTACACATTAAAACGAACAAGTTAATAAAAATTTGAATTTGTTAAAAAATGTTCAACTTTGACACAACTGTCGACATTAAATATTTGCTTATTAGAGGGTAGAAACACATTTAATTTGAAGTTTTGGAGGGTTCTATACCTTATTTCCAACTTACAAATTCTCTAATTAAATATTCTATTAGAGAATTAATTCGGAGGAAAGTCATATTTGGAAATATTTTATTCTTCGTTGATAGAATGATTCTAATTGTACGGTTCACATACTATATATATATATTACCCTACAAGGTTTTAACTACGAATTAAAGCCCCTATCGTATTTAGTTTAGTACTTGTACTTACATGTTTCCTAAAGAGATCGCCATGCACGGCCAACGAATTGTCATTGCTCTCGATGTACTGTATGACCTCTTCGATAGTCCAATCTATGGGTTGCGTCCGCAGTTGGGGACAGGACGCTGTGGGTGTAATGAGGGGTGAGGACGTCGCAGCAACTGCTGCTGCGTAGCTCGAGGAGGTGGCTGTGGCTGCTGCGGCAGGTGCTGTAGCAGCTTTTGCCGCACTCGCTGGTGCAAAAGTTGCGCTGACAGCACCCGCGACCAGAGCAGTCGAGGATGCCGATTGAGAGGCGGTAAATGGCGTCGATACAGAGGTCGGCAAAGAGGCGCTGGAGGAGAGCGTCGTGGGAGATTTGTAGTAGCTACTTGTCGGCTTGGCGCTTAACTCAGGATGCACTTCAGCGACAAGCGGCGTCAGATGCAAGTATCTATCCATGGCGCTGGAGCTTCCAGTACCGCTTGGCAAGCTGTTGTTATTCTTGCTGTTGTTGTTATTATTGCTGCTATTGTTGCTGCTATTGTTGCTGCTGTTGTTGCTGCTGTTGTTGCTGTTATTGTTGCTGTTATTGTTGCTGTTGTTGTTGCTGTTGTTGTTGGCTGTTGTCGTTGAGTTGTTGCTGCTGGACTCTGAGCTGCTTTTGTTGCCATTGCTGTTGGCTGTGCTATTGTTGTTCGCGTGGTGTTGGAAGCGCACTTTGCGCAAAGCTTGCGCCTGACTTTGGGGCTGTGTCTGCGCCGCTGCTGCTGGAGGCACAGCCACGCCGTTCGGTTCGGTTTTTATGGTTGCAGCCGTCGTACTGGTATTGTTGTTGTTGTTGTTATTGTGATGGCTATTGTGCAACGATTCCTTTTCGGCGCTGGCATTGCTACTGGCCTTCTTCTCCGACTTCAAATCCTCTTGCAGATTTGCTTCAACTCCCTCCTGTTTGATAATAAGTGGCTTCTCTGGCAGCGACGTGGGCGTTGGCGTTGACGAATTGGTTTGTCGACCGCGTTTTTCCGACAACGGAGATGAAGGTGGGGTCGATGTGGATGTCAGGTGTCGTTTGCGGTTCTGCGTGCACTTCTTGCACTCCTCCGTCTCGGGCACTAGTGAGATTAGATTTGCACATGCCCGGCATGTGGTACACAGCGTTTCAATGAACTGAGCCAAGCTATCATCGTCCTTCATGCGCAGGGGCGAAGGTATTTTTACCTGAAAAACGAATGCATTAACTTATTTGCACAAGAGACTGTCGAAGCTTAAGTTACCGTGAAGTTTTTTCCCGCTGCTGTGACTATGTGCACATCACCTTCTAGAGCGAAGAGCAGCTTCGAAAGTTGTTGCGTGTCGGTGCTCGCGGCAAGAACTTCCTGTAGGCAAAGCTTTGCGAGCGTCTGATGTGTCGGTCCGGTGACCATTGAAGGCAGCTTGCTGCTATTGATAAATGGACCACCCTTGCAATTGGTATGGAAATGCGCTGTGACCGGCGATGCGGGTACCATGGCATCAGATTCAGCGACAACGGTGTAACGTGGACGCGGACAGCGCTGCTTGCTCGAACTAGAGTCCATGCGGGATTTGTGGCCGGGTGGCTGCATGGGATGACAACTGCGTGCACACCAGCCGGCGGGAAAAATATCCCTCGACTGATAATTGCACCAGTAATCGAACGCACCGCGCCATCCATCGAAAGTCACATGAATCTGGTCATCTTTGATCGCATCAACTGTTGCACAGCAAATCAGTTGCGGATTCTTTTTATCGACCGCCTCGAGCTTTTGGCCAACCTTGAAGAGATTCTCTGGCGGAGTCGGTGGCTGCGGCTGAAATATCTCTTCAGGTGCGACCATTGCATTGTTCAAAATCTTGCACAGATAGCCGGGCCAGCTGGAGGCATTCATGCGAAATCCGAGTGGTGGCTGCAACATTCCGCCACCCTTCTCGCAATGCCCAATCGCATGTATCTCCGTCGAGTCCACTAAACGCCAGAAATCATTTTGTGAATCACTGCCATCCAGTCGCAGACGCAGCCGCGATCCAAGCACACCCACCACCGTCGCAATGCACGTCGATGTAACATTCCGCGGATCCAGTGCCTCCAATTTCATGCCTATTTTAAAATCATTTATGGGCGGATTAAGCGCCTGTTTAAAGCACTCAGCGGGCGCTGCTTCGCTACCCGTTTCCTACAATATATCTCGCATTATTCAAATATTGCCTGCAGTAACGAAATAATGACTCACCTCGAGATAAGCATTCCAATCGAAAACGTGAAAGCTCTCGTATTGAAAGGGACCAGTGGGCGCGGGCGCTCCACTGCTCAGCAATTTCCGCTCGCCATCGTTGACACTTTTAGCCACGCCTGTCGCACTACCACCACCACCGGCGCCACCACTATGATGTCGTGTCGATCCGTTTTTCTTTTGATGTTTGTTCATACACATCATCGAACAGAACTCCTTATTGGGAGCACCCTCGCGTATCACGTTGTCGCACTGTGTGCACGCCCCTTTGCTGTATGCCTTCCGGAATTCGGCAATGCACGTCTCTGAACAGAACTCCTTCTTGCCCGTCTGCGTGGGCAGCACATACTGAAGCGGTAATTTCCCCTCACCGCACCAAGTGCACGTAGGCCGCTTGGCCGGTCTTCCTCGTGGCCTTTGCGTTGTCGGCGTTGTCGCTGCGGACGAATTGCCTCCGCCGACTCCTGTGCTGCTGTTGTTACCGTTACTGCCACTGCCCGCACTACTACTACTGTCACGTCCACCACCCGACATTTTCGCGGTGCTTCACTATCGCCTGTTTTGTTTTATAGTTGCGTTGTTGTTTTTCTTTTCGCGCTTTTATTTATAGTTAACAGCGATGTTTTCGTTTGCGGTTTGAACTCTTTTGCCACGATCACAAACTAAACGCTTGAATGTTTGCGGCGTTCTCGAGGTCACGTAATAACATTTTTCTTTTACATTCGCTTCTTTTTTCGCTTCTTCTAATTAACAGGGTTGAATTCGCTTGTGGCATAGTCTGGTATACGAGCGATTACTATTAATCGAAAGGTGAACCGATAACACAATGTTTGTACTCTGAAGAAAGCTGTTTATCATGGCCGCTAATATCACAATAAAGCAGCAACATTAGTTTTCGAATTGCGGCACACACATATTATATTCGTACAAAATAAAGTACGCAGTAGTCTCAGTTTTTTTTTTACAATTAGCACAATGTTTTTATTACCATATACTTGAATAACTATTAAATTTGTTATTTATTTGTTTTTGCGAAACATAAAACGTAGTTTTATTACGCTTTTCCCCGAACAGAATTCACCACTTGGGGTGGTGGATTTTTCATCCGATGCGTCATGCACCGATAACGTTGCGCACGACTATTCGCCAGGGCTGCAAATGTAGGCAACAACGTCAAGTTACAAAATAATATTGCCACCTTGTTTGTGTAGTCGCTAAAAGGGCGCACAAGAAAGTATTTTCAAATTACGATATAGTGCATGCCAAGTTAATTGATATGTATGTATAAAACAAGCTTCTAAAATAAGAGTTTATAAGTACTTATTTCCCAAAAGATGATTATTTTTTAATGGTCGATTTATTAACCACTATATACTATCAATATGGACGACCAAATATGTGTATACCAAAATAGGATTATTCTCACTAAAACTAAAAAATAATAAATCGGTAAATAACCAATGATGTATACTTAGACTCATTTTAATTATTATGTGACTTTGATGTGAATATATTTATTTTTATATGCATATATGTAAGTATATATTTTATTTTCTAATTTTATTATTTTTTCTTATGCACAGTGATGATTGAATTCAACGCAGCTTTAAGATAACCAGTTTGTTTCCAAAAGATGGAGAGCAGAACACACTTGACCCACATTTTTCTAATATATACAAAATTAGTAAATGCTATTAGCCTAGTGTAGGTCTTAATATGAAATGAACAAAGTAATGCAATTAGGCGTGCCATCCCTTCACAGGGTTCGACTTAGACCCTAATACCACCTGCAACGCCTCAGCATGCATCCGCGTATCGATTTGCTCCACACACACACACTTCGATAGCCGACAGTTTGAGGGCCGAAACTCATAAATCAAATTTGGGTTCGCCGCATTCGCAAACAGTTGACAAATGGGCCAAAAGAGGGCGTGGGTGGCTCGCACGCTTTTAATCGCTGCCAACAACAAATCAACGCTCAAATCTGCCTTTACGCGCGCGAAACAACAAAAACAAAATATCTAATCCACTCACACACACACACCACACATAAGCCCACAACTCCAGCGCCGTATATTCAAAGCAAACGCATCAACATTGGACGCCATGAAATATTCCTCAATTTTGCGTGCGTCTGTCAATCCTTCTGTCCATTTGTCAGTTTGTCAACGGCCTACTCGCTCCGAGGCACATGTGGCATATACTCGTATTTTATGACCAGGAACTGATTCTCTGACGAATGCACAAACGACGCGACACTCAATAAAAAATATAGAAAATAAATTGTGCGCGCTTATGAATAGTTGACAATCTTTTAACAGATTTTTATGCCAGTTCAAAACAAATTGTTGTAGTACTTTTGTAGCATTTTTAAAATAAAAATGCAGATAAAGAATGCACCTAGAGGCTTTCATGTATTTTTTTTTTTTTTTTTTTTTGGCGAAATGAAATGCATTTCAGAAATGCAAAAAATCTGTTGACAGTTAAAATTTCAATAACTGACAAAATGTTAAGAGATTTTTTTTAATGATTTTGCTCTTTGTGAAACCTAAAACCATTTCGTATATTTTTGTAGCTAATGTTTGAAAATAAAAATGCATTTAAAAAAGCTGCTAACTAAATAACATATATTACATCACAATTAAACCATCTGTCTATAAAAACAAAGATTTTTTGAATTGAATGAAAAGTTGACAATTTGTGAAGAAATTATATGTGGCTATGCTTGCCAAATCAAATTGAATTGTTTTATTATTCTTGTAATATTATTATTCAGTTTTATGTTATTATTCTTTGAAAACTATGAAAACAGAAGGTGTTCCATTAACTGAAGTAATTTGAATTGATTGTTCTCAGTAAGTATTTGTAGAAATTATTCTTAAAGTCACAAAAGTATAAATAATAATTATGGTTGCAAAGCCTTCACGCACTTTATTTCTACTTTTCTTGCCTTCTAACTCAAGTAATGCAATATTTAGCGTTTGGCTGTAATTTGAAGAACTTTTGCAACATCTTCGCTGGCTTCTTTTCTTCTGATTAAGTTATTTTAATTCAGGCAACTGCTTGTGGTATTAAAATAATCCGCTACGAAATTATGACTGGCAAGAAATTAGCTTTGACAAAAGTTTTGGTTTTCACTTTTGTCCTTAACGATTCGTGATTAGACTGGCCTACAAAAACTCATGCGACAGACATAAGTACTTCCAATACATTTAATAAACGACAATTTATGCACCTCTTTGTGTGGATTGTCCGATTCGAGACAAAACCGCAGACGTAAGAGCTCTCAAAACAAAGTTTGTTAAACCAATTATCGATTGCTTTACGCTGTCCAAGATGTATATCTTACTGGTATGTACCCGTACTCTCTTGTAATGATTTAATTTTATCGACACAAGCTGTGAAACTGCCCCCAGGTTCCTTGACACGATGAATGCGAACACAAAAGTTCGTGATAAGGGGCAAAGGATGCATAATTGAATGAATTGAGGCGCCTCGATTGCCGTTTACTGTTTAAATGCTTGTCAAATCGACGATGCGCAATTAGAACAGCCAAGGAGCTGCCTTGGAGCCTTTTTCGTCCCACAACGCCAAACTGTTGAGTCATTGACTTATTACACAAATCACACAAAAAACTTTGTGTATTGGACTGCCGCTTGGGTGGCATTTGAACTGTTCGGAGATTTTAATCAGCATGTTGATGAGTTTATCAGCTCGAGAGCTACAGATTAAATGCACTCTTAATGATTTTCATCCCATGAAGCAATTTGGGGGTAACTTTAACGGTTGAGATAAATGTGTGGATTTCATTACAGACAGATGATGCTAATGTTGCTGTGGCAGCTGAAGAATTGTTATCCATTATTCTAATCCGATAAGCATTTATGTTAATTATAAGGTTATAAATATTTGCTAATTATTAATTTGAAATGCTGCTAAAAATGGATGCTTTAACTTTAGAATATAAGATATCAAAATACTAGCAGGCTTTTAAGTATATATCTCCCATATTTAGCAAATCGAAGAACTTATGCTGGTCGTCCTCAGTTTCCAGTTCTGTGCAGAAGGACTTAATAGGAATTGTTTTCTGTTCAGCTTGTGTTGACACTCAGTTGACAGCACATTTACACAAACGTTTTTGGATAAAAATTATAATTAACTTTATCAACCAGTGTCAATAAAAAATATCCCTCTATAGCATCGTTTTAGCGGTTATGATGCAATTTTCTGATCATAACGGCTACGAGTCAAGGCTTTAGCAATATAGGTAGATAAAATTGTAATTTATTCGATTCCTTTTTAGGTTTCTCAGCTTTTAATATTTATATTTACGATTAAATTACGATTCAATTTAAATTTAACCAAATAAATAAATGTATTTTTAAAGGTTTGTAATGGTTTCTTAAGCTGACGTCAAATGTCCACAGTCATAAGGAATGGGTTATAACAACATATTGTTTAATAAGTTCTCGTCGAGGGTTTATTGCGATGAACAACTTCAATTAAAAACATCAGCAACATTTTGACAGATTTTAATCAGCGATTACAGAGGGTCAAGGAGCGAGTACGAGCTTGTCCGTAATAAAAAATGAACGACAGCCCACGTGTTTAATTACAATTCGTAGTCACGCACACACAAACATGTCCGTAACTTCGCATACGCACGGAACGCATTGACAGCGATTAAAAAGCGTGTCACAGATTTTGAATGGAACAAGGACTACAGTGTTGCTGCGACATTTTGATCGTTCATTTAAGCAAAGGTTAAATCAAGCGAACGTCACACGCAATCTCAATAAAACTTGCATCAGGGAATAACGAAACTGAAAGACAGATTGGACAATGGGCAGAGTTTGCCTCAACTAATCAAATATTTCCATTTTAGTCATCTTTATTTGATCATTTGAACATTATAAAAATTAATTGAACTAACTTAATAGAGTTGCAGGATGATCATAATTTTCAGCAATTACATAAGATAATAAAAAATCCTATTCCCGTATGTTTTATCTACAACTATAGAAACTTGTGATGAAGTAATATTATATTTGAGCATTAAATGGCTTTGTGAACACATAATTAGTTTTATTTCATTTAACTTAAAATGTTTGCGTATTATTTCTCCCTGTTTATTTAAAACCATTTATTATTCGAGAATTCACGCTATCAATAATATATTTATAATTACTTTCTGAAAAATATAAAAAAATTTTAAAATATATTATGAAATTTGAAACTAATTCTTTTGGTTCTTTGGTAAGCGTTAGCTTTTAATAAAAAGTATTATTCAAATTTTCATTTCAGTATCAAGGCAACGATACTCTGCTAAGATGCATATCACTCATAAATATTATATAGTTAAGCAATTAATAAATTTGGCACAAATGTGTGTATACAATTGGAATTAATTAATAAATGAATTATGGTTACTGATAGACATTTTTGTGCGTAGCTTTAAATATTGATGAGCTCAACAACGTCATATCTCTTTAATTGGCTGCGACAAATGGAACAAATGCCAAATTGGTTTCAATTCAATCACGATCAGATGAATTGAAAAGTGATATCTAAAAGTTTGATGGCATTCAACTTTTTCCGTCAGTGATGAGCAGTTGCCGTATAAATTGAAGAAAGCCTGCTTGTTATTGTTGTGCTTCTTTTATTTGTGGGAGAAGAAAATCGTTTATAAACGCAAACTAATTTCTACCACAGTACATCCGTTTTCCTTTCAAGCGCAATTTTACACCTGAAGTATTAGCTGATCATGTATGGCGCCATAAACATTGACGAAGTCTGCATCTGCATGTGCTGACAACTGACTTCTGGCTGGCTTTAAAACAAACAATTAATGTGCAAATAAAACTCATTAAATATTAATTGAGTTCGATAATTACAAAGCAGTTCTGTGGCAGAGCTGTCAACGAACACCAACGACCAGTCGCCACCAACAATGTTGCGGCAACATTGATGCTGGCAACATAGGTGCGTGGGTGCAGTTTCATTCATAACTTGACGTCGTTTCCTGCCTGCGCTCGGGTCTGCGTTCGTGCCAAAGCTTCGCGATTGTCCTGCCTGCCTGCCTGACTGACTGACTGCCTTTTTATATAAAAACAGCGCCATCGGAGCTCGCAGCTCAGAGTTCTTCGCCCATCGTCAGCCTGTTGCGTTCGGCACTCAACACTCAACACAAGACCCAAAGACATCAAGACCGCTAGAAGCACGCTTAGAAGGTAGAACAGACCCAAGACCCAGCAGCCAACTGATAAATCGCCTTTGGATATTATTTTGAAAATTACGTTAAATTAACGATAATTGCCGTACGCGCGTTTTCAATTTTCATATAACGTTGAAACGCTTTATAACATTTCAAATCGTTTGTCCCAATTTCGTTTGATTGCCGACGCGTTTTGAATGCGGCGCGTGTGAAAATATATTTGAAAGATAAATAACAAAGAAAACAAATTTTACAATCAACAAATCTTCAAAGCCATAAATAACGCGCCTGTGTTAAATTCAAGCGGAATTAAAGCCAATTACAATTATTAAGGTGATTCGTTTTTTATGTGAAAATTGCTGGTATTGTTACGAAAATACGTGCAACGCAAATAGGACGAGAAATTAGCATTTTGTGGATTTATCTTACCAACGATAACTGGTAGGTTCCTCTCTTATATCAACAGCACTTTTAAATTCCACTTTGCCTTCGGCCTAATTATCATTTCATTAATCAACGATATGCATGTCATTACATTTTTTTAATTATATAGTCGAACATGTTCGATTTTCTAAAACATGAAAGGGAATTTCAATTTCATATGCAGACTCATATTACAAGAGTCAGCCAGGTATGAGGGATATATTTGGCAATTAATGAAAGTAATCATTGGTTACTACGTATCCGCGTTGTTTGCGAAAAATTGTGCAGATTAATTACACGGAAACGCAATTTAAAACTCTTAATTAAATGTCTAGCTACCGGCCGCATCTTAAATGTCATTTTAATTTAATGACAAATAATAAACGGCCTATAATTTGTTTTAAGCAGTGCCATTAATTGAGGCAGACGGTGGAGCAGAGCTAATCAATATTTTGTACGTGCATTTCAAGCCGAAATTCTTTTTGTCAATCATGGCCCCATCATGCGTCTGACAACAAATTTAAATTCGCGTGGTAAAATCCATTTCCATAAACTTTTAATGCATCAACTGGAAGCCGTTATTATAAGGCTGTGACGTCAAGAGTGTTGAAATTTAAGAATCTAGGGCACTGAAAAAACAAAATTGTTTATACATATAAAAATTTGTTTGTTCCAATAACGATTAAGAAAGCTACATAATTTGTTTATTTTGCAAATTTTTAATTGAAATGTGTTTATACTTATACTTAAACATATCAGACTTCATTTTTAACTTTGCCTAAAATAAAAAATTAAACTTGTAGACGTTTTATTTATTAAATTTATTTAATATTTATAATATCTAAACAATTTCTTATTATATAAAAAACCTGGCCACTTAGGGTCTAAGGAAAGAAATGTAGTTAAACATAATAATTGACTAAAGGATAAAAATCTAAAAATCAAAATAAAAAGCAATAATTTAAAAGCTGAACCTCTAAGTCCTTTCTTCTGTAGCTCGCTTTAAATTTAGCTCCTCTGAATAGTTTAAATTTAATGAAAGCACAGCTTTTAATTTAGCGCGAAAGTCAGCTATTCACTGCAAAAAGTATAACTTGTTTCAAAACATAGTTATTAAATGCGTTCAAATTTTGCATAAATCTAATGAGTTTCGCTTTTGACTAACATTGTCTGCCTCGGCGGCATCAGCTTCATCAGCAGAATAATGGCTTTTGATTCAATTAACTGCACGCAAGCTGGCAAGCTTCACTTTTTAAAATATCAACCTGAGCGACGTGGATGATGTGCCTTTAAAAGGATCATCACTGTTGGCGAAAAGCTCCTTAAAATATCGTTTAGGCCGCATTAAGGTGGTCGTAGCTGCTGTTGTTTGTTTTTAATTTTCCCATTCATGATGTCCTCAAAAATTGGTTGACCAAGCATCAATACAAAAGTGGTTTTGGTGCTGTGAATCAAACAACATGATACATGATTTACATATCAATGCGGGAACTCAGCTGTAATCTGTAAATATTTATATATAGCTACAAATCACAGCGTGTCTGCATATCCATCCAATATCCAATTTTTGAGCTCGTAAAAATCTTGTTATCGACCAAAACTTTTGCTGCAAACACAGCAAAAGCGACTGCCTGCATGTGTCTCTTCTTACGCACAACATGTATTTGCATACATTTGTAATGTAAATAGACTTATAGCCTTTCTTATAACTCAGCAGATAAAAAAGTAGGCACATGGGCCGCAGGCCAAGACATTTCTCTCTTCTTATATTCGTCTTTGTTGACAGTGAGAGGGAAAGTTTAATTTTATTTCCATATGTACATTGTTCTACAATATGAAAGACTAGGCAAGTTTTAATATTAATAGTCATCATGCCTGATAGCATTTCAGACATATATGGGTTGGATGTTTTGAGTTACTTAGGACCATAAATATTTAAATCTTTGCCATCTCGCGGCATCATCTCTTGGTTACAATTTGCATTTTCAAATTGGCCATACCTATGTATCTGTCAATATTTTGTTGTGCTGCAGGAACAGGCAAAGCGGTCAAAGTTCATGCGCAGGTAATGACACAAATATGACAGTTGATTGCCTCAATGCTACGACCCATTGGCAAAACATGCGTATTTGTGGGATTTTCACAGCTATTTAGTTCCAGACACTGACAAATGGAGTTATAAGTAGCTGGAAAAGTGACACCTACTCGTAATGCGATGGCTGACAAGTGAGCTAATAAACCATCTACTTACCCAAATCAATAGTTCAAGATAATCGAAAAGACCGCTACATATTAAAGCTTATGCATAGTATAAGTAGTATATCATCAAAAAATTATATAATACAATGTTGTTGTCTTCTCTGCCAGAAATTAAAGAAAATTCAATTTTGTGAACCGAGCTAAAAAAGAAGAACTCTTACTAAATGACAAAAGAAGCTTTCAAATAACAAGCCTTTAATCCTTTCCTACAATAATTGATTTAACAAAATTTATATTTATGTTTTTAAATTATTGTGCAATTATAGTCTACAGGTAGAAAAATTTATACCTAATCTAGTTAGATTAACTTATTTAGTCGAATAGTAAGCATATTTCAGAATGAAAAGGTATCTTGAATAAGAAAAATTTATAAAAACTTCTAAAAGTTTCAAATAACATAAAATTTTTTTGAATGTTTAAGAAACTAGTTGTTTAATTGCGATTAAATCTTGCCAAACTTCCGATTAGTTTCGTGGAATAATCGCTCTGCAATCGCAATTATGGGTTTTCAGCAACTCGTGTTTCTGCGAATTCGTTCGAAAATCTATTTCAACTCTTCCATAAAGCAATCATAAATCATTTTCACATAAAGTTTATATTTTTTCCAATTTTTTAAATCTTAGTAGCCAAAACTTTTTTCATCTGCAAACTCGTATGCAAGTAGAAAGTTTATTCGTAGCCAATTCGCAAGTGGAAGCAAGCTAAATGCAAGTCAGAAAAGAAAAGTCAAATCAATTTTCTTGTATGTATTTGCAAAAGAAAAACATTCACACTAGTCGCATTTGTATAGTGCCCGATATAGACGGCTTGAAGCGATATAAATACTGCTTAGAGCTAATCAAAACGGGGGCAATGCCTGAGAGTTCCTGCTTCTCAATTGAACAAGCTTGTTGCAGCAACAACAACAGCAACAACGACAACAATAACACATAAGCAAGAGAGTGGGCGACGACACGAATATTAGAAATGAAAGAAAAATTCAATTTGCATGCTTCAATTCAAGTAAGCATGTGCGTGTGTTTGTTCGAACTCATATACAAGACACATGTACCCAGTCCTGTGTACATATTTATTTAAGGACAACCGTTTAGAGGCACATTTTGGGTGCGTTATGAGTTCGGAATAAAGTTGCTGAAATATCTCCACACTAGCTTACAAAATAACACAATGATGAAGCAGGGATAGAAGAATATTTTTCTCAGTTATGCATTTTTTAAAACACGTATTTCGAACTAATATGTATACCAGTACCTGTACCTATCCTTATAGTAAAGAAACACTTTAATATTTTAGATAGGAGCGCTCAAAGCCAAAATTTGAATTTAGAAAATATGTCGCAATTGCTCACAGATAAGCAAAGTTATTAAATTAATTTTTTTTTACTAATTTTTAATTACCCTAAGTTTTGGAATTGGCCATTTGTTGACTTTGAGTAACGTTTTAAGAAGGGTCTCTTGTTTTAAATTATACTGTTATATTTATAACTGAAATTAAACTTATATTTAAATACAAATACAACTTAAACTAGGTGTTTAGTCTTAATTAAAGTAACTTCTGTTGGAAATAACATACAAATTCATCCTAAAAGTATGCTACTTAGTTATTATTGCGTTCCATTTCTTATGAATGGAAATGCCTTTTTGGCTGCACCTTGATTTTAAAGTTCTGCCCTGTTTTCGTCCAATCTCTTTTCCATTATATTTAAATATTGCTTGTTCATTTTTGAAGGTACGTTCCTGGAAGTTCCTGGATATTAAAACACGATCAAAGACAGATTATTGTCATAGTAGTGCCATTTTGTACATATTTACCTTAAAGATATTTATTAAAACTCAAACTTTTGATTCTTTTGTGGCTGAATGATTTGTTGTTAGGCAGTGTAATTGGCACGCTCATGCTCAGATTTTTGATAGCCATTCTTTCTCTCTTCCTTCAACTCAAAAGGAAATTGTACGCATAACTATTTGTCACTATCCTCGGACATTATTTAGGACAAAATGGACAAAGATGCCCAAAATAGAATGAATATTTTTTGTTCAACCTTTCATGTTTATTTTGATTTTGTAAAAAGAGCAAATGTCTTTGAAAATTGAGTAGGTCAGTAAATTGCTTGGGTCTATCACAAAAATCCTTTTCATTTATTATATTTTTTTCTAGATTTGTATTGTTCTTGTTGCTGTCAGGTCGTCATTATTATTATTTTTTGCTCGCAAATGTCCGAGTGTAACACGATAACTCATTCTGTCAGCAGGCCGCACGGGCAAAATTGCAGGTAGCTGTTCGTCGAGCCCCTCTCCCCTCTTTTCACTCGGCACTTACCATTTACCTCTAGGCTATCCACTTGACATGCAAGCTCGGCGCTTTGTTTCCCTCGTGTCTCTATTTATGTACCATTTCTTGCGTCCGCACGTATATCAGTCGCGTATTACGTATACGTCCGTTGTGCCAGCCAAACTCATTTTCCCATGTGTGTGTGTTACGTCCGAGTCCATTTAAGAGCCCTTCCATACGGGCACAAAACCACGGTGGCCATGCCTGTGCGCCATAAATTTTCACAACACTTCTCGTTGTCAAAAATGTTACGCATTACTCACAACTTGCTTGTCAGCGCATGTTCTCGCAATATATGTACAAATTTCCGTCAATGTTCCCTTTCCTCTAAATGTGCAGCTTGCACTTTTCCGGCCATTCAATATTCGTTAGTGTCAAGTTTTACTTTCTGCACTAAATGAAACTTCCTTTTGCACATTTTTTGAAAGTGAAATTGATAAATCGTCAAACTAGTCAAAGAATAGTGAATATATAGCTAATTTTTAATTGGAAATGATTGTGTTCTAGCTTTCAATGAAATCCTAAATCAATTGCAATGAATTATGGAAGATTCGCCCTCTGGTCGGATGAACTTTAGCTTAGACTTATGGTTGTGCGAGATTGATTATAAAAATGCAACTTTCTTCTTTACCAACGCTCAGCAACAATCTAGTTACAATAAAATTGTACTAATGGTACTGAGATTTCATTCAGCTAAGCCATTAAGACCCTTGGAAGACACTCCAACAGCGTTCCATTAAAAGAAGGGGAAAAGTCATAACTAAATCCAAACTAAAAGTAATCATTTTATTATTATTTAAGTTAAATTGAAAAAAAATGTTAGCTAATGAAAGTGCTTTACAATAATCAATGAGCATCTTATCATATAATAATATAATAAATAATACTTCTTAAAATATATAAATATAATTATTTTCCACCCCCATTTACCCGCCTCGTTCCGTACCATATTTTTAATTGATTTTCATTATCTTGCCAACTACATGTACCAGCTTTTGCCGAATCTTACTGAAAACTTCTCTTATATAAATAAATAAAAATAAATCAGGAATATTTTCTTACACATATAAGTACTTCCATGCACTTCGAAAGTACATTTAAAAAATGGAGAAAATTGACTGTACACTTATAAGAACACAAAAATATTTATGTAATTAAAAAAATATACGCCTCAGAGTCAATGATACTTGTATCGTTGCATTAATTAGTTTTTACTTACACATATATGTGTAATGCGAAATGTAGTGGACTAGATTGCGATTAATTTAATTCGAACCATATTTCTTAAATATTTTGTCCAAGTTTCTGAACATGATAAAGCTTTATTCTTAAGCATATTTTGCGCCAAAAAATATCAATTTATAACGATATAAATTGTTTATATTTATGAACCGAAGCATTCATCAGTTAACTTCAGTTTTTATTACGTTTGTAATTTGAACTGAATAAACGTGTATTAATCGTTTTATACTGCTTGTATTTATTTGTTTTTGTTTTTTTTTCATATATTTTCAGAATGATGAAAGCCACAGCGTGGTTTTGTCCGGTGTTATTAACTTTACTGTGCGCCACGAGGCTCGTTTGCACGGCACAGCGTGGTGGCGACGACGGCGACGGATATCCTCTCAACTATTTGGATGCACAGGCCATACAGGTGCGTGTGTGTGTGTGTACATGGCTGTGTGTGTATTGCGGTTGGCAACATTTGCATGGCCTTCTTTCACAATCATATACATATTTGTATGCATATAAATGTTTGTTTTTTGTATACTCCTACATATTCAATATTTGCTAACGTTTTTATAGCACAAACGGTTTTTTGATGAATAACTTTGAAAAGGATGTTACACAGACTGCAACGATGATAGCGACAATTGATGTACTTTTTCTGTAGGGGTTCACAAATCATTAATATTTATACGGACCTTTCATGCAGCATTGTGGTTTTGAACTCTCCGAACAAGTTAGTGCCCGGTGTGGGTGACTAACCAAGTCAAGTAAAATAACTAATTTCCATTAACATTTCTTTGTAATGAGTAGAACTACTACTTATAAGTAAAGCAACAGTTGAGCGATAAGGTTCTTCGCAAATCGGACATTCTAGTGTAAAAACAGTTATAATAACAAAGTATTCAAGTACCTACAAGTAAATAAGTGTTACTAGAAATTGCCAATAACTTGTTCCGGCATTGAAGTGGAACTTCATATTTCCTCGAATTGCTTATCGCATAAGTAAATGAACACAAATTCAAGGAATCTATTTGTAAACCAATCTTTCAACTAAAATTTAAATACTTCAGAATGTCATGAGGAACTATTTATAGCTCGGAAATGCGAATTGTTCTCATGTTCTCTTTGTATACAAAAACAGAGCACATTTATATTTCAGAAAAGTTGTTTAACATTTCCTGCAACTTGTCTGCATGTTTCTAATCTTAATTTTTGAAGTGTTTGTTTGAAAAACAGCTTAATTTGGATTTGACACATGCAGAGGCTTCAAAACTTAATACTAAGTTCAATTAGTGATTTCTGGCATGTTCTCTATTCATTGTTCTTCATAAATTTTAATCGTTGTTATAAAAGATTAATTCAATGTGTGTACTGTTATATACTTGGACTTTTAATGATGAATGACTGTCAAATAAAATTGTAAGCCTATGAGTAAGTCTTAAGTCAAAAACATGAAATATGGTTGTTCTACAAAAAAAAAAAATCCGAAACCTAATGACGCTTTTCTCTGATTTGTCAAATAAATACTGGGAGAATTGAATTATAGAATGTTACATTAAAGGCTTTACACAACAGCAACAAATTAGCAACTCCTTTAATTAGTAATGATATATAATTTATGATAATTCTTGGTGTCACGTGAGAATTAATCTGTTGATATATAGTACACGTACCTTTCATTTTTTGCATCAAATTAGCAAAAAGAAAAAAAAAGTTCAATGACTCACTGCAGAGAATTGAAGCAAGTCATTTATAATATTTGCACCCAGACTCACACCTTATCTTTAGACAGTGCTGTGTCTCGTTTGGACTTTTACAGCACCATTGTCTTGTTATATGGCCTATTGTTTAGTTGTTTGATATGTGCCAGGCTGGGCTTTGTACTTTATTATTATTAATAAGTATATGCTCGGCAAATCCTGCGAGACTCAATAATTATGGCCATCGTTCTTTTAATTAGTGGCGGGTCAGTGCAATGAAAACAATGCTTGGCCATTGATGAAGCACTGATAATCAAATTTCCATTAACACCAATACGAACACGAACACCCATTTTATTCCTTCGGCTACAAGTTCAATAGAACTTTTATCGAAATTCCTTCAATAGCCTAAATTCGTTCACTTCCTACTTAACAACTGCGAGCAAAAAAGAACGTAAATCTTGTTGCTTCCCATTATGGTTTTTATTATGGCACTTCAACAATACAATAAAATAAAATATAATCTTATCTATGTCTGCTGGCCATCGAGACTGCAATGCCGGCTGTGAAATAAACAAATTAGCAAGTCTACCAAGGAAAACTTTTTTTGTTGTTAAGTGAACATGCCAATAAATTTTGTTTGTGGTGCGATTCATTCGAGGTCGTTGAATATTTTGAGCTTACATGGAAAACTTCTATGCTTCATTAGATTAGAAACACAAATTTAAATGCTTATTTTTTTGCAACTTATTACAATGACAACAAACAAAAAAATTACAATAAATTTTACAAATTATTACATTTAAATGCGATACAAAACTTTTCTTTTATGGTTTTTCGTAATTTGTGTAAAGTTTGTGGCAAAGTTTAAGTACGCGTTTAACATTTGATTCCACCCACACTTCCACAAAGGTATTTAGGAAAGTTTCTCTATGCTGAATTTTATAAAGGGGCTTTACAAAATCTACCGCGAATTTGTGCAGACCTATTTGTGATTCTGGCAATGTCGTTTGATACGCCAACGAATTTGGTTCAATTTCTTAGCATAACTTTAAGAATTTGGTAAGGTAAGACTTGAAAATAATTCCAACATTTTTTGAGCTTCACAATTATGTCCAAAACATACTATATATTTTAACTTCGACATTACTTTTTATACTCGTAGAGTGTGCAAATTATTTTCATATTTTACCATACCTTACAAAATTCTTAAAGTAGCACAACTTTAGCTATAGTTAAAATGAAATGAAATTTGGCTCCAAGTTAAGTCACTTTTTTTTGGGAAGTCGGCTGAATAGCAGATACGAACCTTTTGAAAATAATTTGAAATTTTCTTCACAACCACTTACAACAAACTAATCAATATTAATACTAGAAGTAGCATTGTAGTAGATTTTCGCTTAAACAAACATAATTATTTATTGATACACTTCATCACATTAGTTCCTACAACCTTTATGTGAATACATCAATCAATTGCGTTTCTTGTCACCAACCAATGGCCATGTTTGTAATCCTGACAATTGTCAACTATTCATCTCCCCCGGGATCGATTTCTATAGCCACTTGGCCACTGTTACTTACCTTTCTGCCAAAACAAAACGTGTAAAGTATGAAAACTTTCCGAAGTGTTTTCACAAACTTGGGCACACGGCAAGCAGCATGACCTTCAAGAATCGCTGAATGTCGCGAAGTCGTTGTTGTTATTCTTGATTTTTGCAATTGCCAAAGGGCAGCAATGCATTATAGTTATATGTATTTATATACGTACACGTATATATGTGCAATAATTTCTTAAATAAAGCGATAGCGTAGCAAAAGTTCTGCTTTACAGGAATTTCAAAAGTTACGAAAGCCAAATTGAAACTTATGCAGCGAGTTCGAAAACTATTTATTTCTGTTTTGCTTAAAGCTTCATGTATTATTAATTTATGAAGCGAAATTACGCATACGCACCGTTGGCACGATTCTAACTTTGGGTTATAAAGTTAATTGGCGAGTTTTATGCAAACTATTTACTGGTGTCTCCATTAAGATATAGTTGTAGGATCTTCTGGTTCTTCTGGTGCTGGCGATGTTGGTGCTGGTGGGCCAGGTGGGCCAGGTGGGCGCTTTCCAGGAGGCCTCTGACCTGGGCGACCAATTCCAGATGGACCCTGGCCAGGTGGTCGCTGGTCAGACGGTTCCTCGTCAGATGGTCGCTGTTCAGACGATCCTTGGCCAGGTGGTCCCTGGTCAGATGGTCCCTGGTCAGATGGTCGCTGGTCAGACTGTCCCTGACCAGGTGGTCCCTGTCCAATCGGTCCCTGTCCAATCGGTCCCTGGCCAATCGGTCTACGCCGAGGGGGTCCACGTCCAGCCGGTCCCTGGCCAGGCGGCCCTTGACCACCAGGTCCATTCTCATCAGGCGAACCTGCAATGCCATCAATTGGCAATCTGGCCGCTACTACGACCAACAAAACTGCAAAAACTGCAACCGTTATAGCTCTCATGATATTTTCGATCTGCTGCTACACTCGTTATCATCGGTTTTTATACGCTTTTCGCGCAGACAGCCTTGGCATTGTTTATATTTGCACAGTTGCAGTCGGAAAAAAGATCAATAGTTAGACGCTTGCATCATTTAGCAAACAATTAATGTAAAGTCTGTCGTAATCCATACATAGCAGCACTTCCCATATCTGATAATCGACATTACGAACAAGTCGCAATCTAATCGCGACAGAAGAAAGTTTCCACATACCCGAAAATAAAAAATATTGACACACATCATACGGTAGGAACTAGTCAAATGGATTAGTTTACAGCCGGAGATATAAACAATGTAAGCATAAAAATGTTTGTTTTTACGCAATTTGAATGGAAACTTTTTCATGGTCAATTTGGAAACCTTGAACTGGCCCCCTGGTCATGATAAGGATTAGGTTAACGAAACCAATCCAATAATGGAATGCGTAAATTTACAAAATTTGAAGGTCAGGTTTTTGCGATTGCGGCGAATTTCAGAAAACAGATAGGCCCTAATAATATTGATGATAAATACGATGTTTAAGCTCTTGGAAATACGTTATCAGATACTTTAAGTACAACGACATAGGTACTTGACTTGATAGCGAGTACATAAATTATATAAAAATACATTAATTTGTTTATGTAATTGGCTACCTAATGGGAAAAATAGTCATCACGCTAAATATAACAAATTCCAATGAACACGAAACTTAAGATAATTATGAACTTAAAAATAAATGACATGCAAGTTTATTAATCAGGGAATTATGCTATTTGACATTTCTGAACGGAACTGATTGGTGCTATATGATTTCATTAATCTATTAATTAATTCTAAATTTAAAATCTATTTGGTTTGTATAGTAACAAGGGTTTGAACTTTCGTTCAAGTACAATTGAGGCTTATGCACAATTTCAAAAGAATATCGTACTAGACCTAGTAGAACTTTGAAGACTGTTGTATAATACTAGATCAACATGGACTATCTACTGATTCAGGAACTGCATAAACAGAACCGGATCTAAGCTTCAGATCTTCCAGTTCGCTTTTAGAAGAACCTAATGGTGCACATGGCTTTAGAAAAGTTGCAGACGTCATTCATAAGTTCCAAGACAAAAGGTAAAAGCAAGCATAGAGTATACAAATATGATAAAGGCCGATCAGTATCTAACTCCTCTTAAAAGGTACCTTCTTCTCTTAAAAGGCCCTTCTTCTAGCTCCATTTCCTTTTAAATTCTACTTACACACTATGCTCACAATTATATTCAGAAGCTACTCCTCTTACTCTAACTCCTATCGCCGTCTATAAAGGATTATGACAACACAAGAAGAATTCATATCAAATACGTATGACTTCATCTGAAGTAAGACTTCATCAGAGAGTAGTTTTGGCAGATTAGATGAATAGAAGGCTGTTCAATATCTATTAGCTGCTCTCTTTGCTCTCCCCAATTAAACAAGGGAAACAGCTGCAAAATTTCAGAGAGCCAGTAGTTACAAAGCCCATTTGACGACACTGACCTGCACTTACATTATACAAGTATATAAGGAAATGGCTCAGCACATATCGACTCGCTTAACTGAAGGTTTTTGCAAAGCAAAGCCCTTGTTACTGAGTACCTGGAAACGCAGTCCGACAAAATAGTCTGACATTATCAAAATCGCATTCACTTAAACAAGATCAGATAAGCAGAGTAACTTGTATTCGAATTTCAAGAAATAAATAATTGACATGTTCAAGTTGGTTTGTATAGAAAAAACGTTATAATTAAATGTTATTGTCGACAACATTTTTGCACGCTGTTGACATATTGCACATTCTTTGACATAAAAGATAATTTGAAGTGTTTTCAAATTAGTTGCCTTAATTCAGAATAAACTAAAAATAAAGTCATGCAAAATTTCAACATTGAATTGAAATAAAAATACGATATGTACATTTCAAAACAAAATGTTCAAAAAATCAGTACATTTGCTTATTTGAAATAGTATAATTATTAGCAATTACAGTGAAATTCATTGAAATAAGAAGATTTTTAAAAGATTACAGATCCATTCAATTAGTCGTCTTTGGAGTCAGATGATGAGTCATCAGAATCGGAATTCGATGAATTTTTGGATCCTTCACTAGATTCTTTGGTTTCCTTCGACTCTTTGGTTTCCTTAGATTCCCGGGTTTCGTTAGATTCCTTGGATTCCCGAGTTTCGTTAGATTCCTTGGATTCCTCAGATTCGTTGGATTCCCTAGATTCTTCAGAGCTTGCCGAAGAGCTGGATACCTCAGGTACTTCACTAGTAGATTCAGCTGGTGCTTGGCTTGAGGACTCCTCAATTTCGGCAGTGGTAGACTCATCGGGCTGAGCTGATGACTCATCGGTTGCTTCAGTAGTATCTACAGAGCTTTCAGTAGATTCGCCAGCTTCTTCAGTAGTCTCTCCGGATCCCTCTGTGGTCTCTTCGCCAGCTTCAGTAGTTTCACCGGCATTTTCAGTAGTCTCTTCGGCAGCTTCAGTTGTTTCACCGGCTGCTTCAGTAGTAGACTCCTCTGCGCCTTCAGTTGTTTCACCGGCTGCTTCAGTAGTAGACTCCTCTGCGCCTTCAGTTGTTTCACCGACAGCTTCAGTAGTAGACTCCTCTCCGCCTTCAGTAGTTTCTACAGTACTTTCAGTAGTTTCGGCTCCACCTTCAGTAGTTTCTTCAGAAGCTCCGGTAGTCGACTCTTCCGGAGCGGCAGTAGTCTCCGCTAGTATGGGTGCACTTTGTCTCCAGTGGGCAATTGTATTACCAGAAACGTATCCATATCCACGATTGGCCACAGCAGCTTGGCGAATCCTTTCCCAGTTTAGGAAATCACGTTGTGGCTTAGAGGCAGCCACCACCAACAAAACCGCGAATACCGCAATTGTTAGACTCTTCATTTTGCAATTAGTTTGACAATACTGATTGAAACTGAAATGAGTGTTCGCTTTTATAGAACTCAGACAACCGTTTGCCCATTCATTTTGGCCCCAAGCATTCTGACCATACGCGAGTGTGTCGCTATCTAATCGTGCTTGGCGTGTAGAGAGGTCGAAAAAATTTGATAAAAAGGAGAAATTGCAATATACGAGTACCTCTATGCTCGTTCATACTTGTTTGTATTGTTTTGCTGAAACATCCCACTCCATTTGTTGTCCACATTAACTCACTTGTTTTTGTCTTTATTCGTATGCTTTCTAGAGAAAGACTAGTCAGAGATTTGGCTTTATGGCGGGCTTTTCGAGACTGCTTAATCATTTTCGCATAGAACTGGGTCCTTATCAGACGGCACAATGCAGCCATTATAAAGTTATACATGTATTTACCCACTTGTAGACGTCAAGTCTTCGTCATAAGCATTAATGTATGTTTTAGATTTCTCTTTACAGATATTATTGCTTAGTAGACATTTCACTAATCTAACAATAAAAGAGTCCAAAAAATTCCCAATTACGTACAGCTCTACATACTCACGAATATAGCACGTGAACACAAAAATGTTTACTGATTTATGTACTATTTAGGTAAAGCCGCATAATTATATCAACTTTACATGATTCCCATATCGATTCGTATCTTAATTTGATTTCATTTGTTGCTACTGTTTTATGTTTTTCGCCACGCGTCTGAGGAGTGATTTCGAAAAAAGAAATAAAAAGTCTGCGTATATGTTTCTTTTAAATTTTCGATGTTATCAAATTAATGTTCTCTACAATGCTCCCCTTATCATAATTGGCTTTTTCGATTTTTGTGTAAGCAATTATTAATAGACCCACAGGAAGAACAACAAAAGAAATATCATTAATATCAATTAGAGAAAACCAAAATAAAAAGCGAAAGAATTCAATTTCTACTTTTTGTTGCCAAGGTCAACAACTAAGTCATCAGTCAGCGAAATGTTTAGAATTTTCAATTTACATTTACAAAGGCAGACTCGTTCGTATCCAAATAACAAATATTGGCTATTCGCAAATCGGGAAAAAATGTACTTTCCGTGTACAAGTCTAATCGCATTTAACCAGTTTGAATTGAACTTGGTTCCATTGTGCTAATTACAATAATACAGCCATAAAAATACGTGTACTTTTGAAATTGCAAATTGAAAACATGTGTCACCGTCTTATTTTAATTATTTAATAACTTTTCGACATTGATTGCACCATAAACACATTAAAACAAAGCCTTACTAGATTAACAAAATTGTCGTAAATAGAAAAATCTAATCAAATTGCAGTAACGCCGCCAACAGGTCCGGCAATCCTGTATTCGGCCGCGTATGCCTTGATAAAAAAGTGAATTGTAAACTTTAAAGAATGTCGGAAATACGTGAAGAAAAAGCATGAAAAATTCGCTTAATTAAGCTTCTACTTTTTTGAACCAGAGCTTAAATTTTAATTTAAATTTCATGCTTAGAGAGCAAGTGTGAGTTTCTTTTAATATTAATAAATCCTTGTTGCCTAAAATCTATATTTTATAACATTTAGGTAACATTATAAATAATTGTTTCACTATGTTTGCTATTTTTCTCACGAAATGCAACATATTGTTACCGAATTAAGTATTATTGTTACTATTTTATACGAATGAGGCTCGCTTATTTAGTTAGAGAAAACATTGCATATGCTATACCATTTAAATAAACAATAAATGTATGTAATACAAAAAAAGGCATACTAAAAAAATATATATAAAATTGTATTAAAATAAAATTAAAATTGTATTAAATGACAACAATATTTCTTTTCACACACACATATATTAACAATCCAATTTATCTTATATCTTATCGCTTTATACCATAAGAGCACAACTCAAACGCATTTACGAAAAGGACTTTCACATTAACTGGCAAAAAGTCATTTATTATACTTTCTACAATAATAGCAAAACTTTTCGCTTACAAGTTTTAAGTGAATGCATTTCATTTTCTATCCCCAGGATGATTATTTACTGGCGAAGCGCAACAAACCGTCATTGTCCATTGTTAATCCGTTGGATGTGCTTCGTCAGAGGCTGCTCTTAGAAATCGCGCGCAGGCAAATGAAGGAAAACACAAGACAGGTAAGTGGGTGGACTGGCTATGTAAATGGAAAGAAAATAAGGGAGAACAATCAGCGAACGACCACTGACCATCATCTCAGAGTCGGCACTACCAGTATTCGCTTTGTATTTTTTAATAAGATAGAAAACTTTTCGCTAAGCTCAAGACAAACAGAAAAATGTACGCATAACGAAATTTTATTCCAAGTTGTGAGTGGGATTCGTTGTTGCGTGTGAATTGCGAAAGCGCGAAAATTTGCTAATCAGAATTAGCGAAAGATAAATGAAAAATAGTTAGAGAACTCAGAAAAACGAATGCAATTGCTCGCAACAACTTTTTAAATTTGGCAGTGAATACATTTTTGTATTTATATTTTCTGCTTGTTTTTTTTTTCAATTCACGTAACATCAGGCAAGGTCGTACAAAAATATGTATTTTTGGCAAACAACAAGGCTTGAAAGGCTTAAGTGAGTCAATCCTTCAGCAGGCCAAGGAGCTTAGCATTTGGATGCGAAAGCGAAACCAACACAGCGTATACGTAACATAAATATTTTCACTTCGTAACAATGCGAATATATTTGGTTTGGTTACACCGATGGGGTGCACCCCATGGTGGCTCCGAGCATTTTGACAACTCACTGGGAGGGCTAAACGAAAATTGGAAGGAAAAAGGCAAGAAAATCAAACGATTTTATCCGAGGAAATTCAAACGATTTTCAGCCGTCTGCTAACGATTTGTGCGAATATGGGGGAGTATTTGAGGTCAGGGGTATTGTCGTCGCATGCTTAAAGAACATGTCAGTTCATATGCATTGATTTGTCAAAAGGATTTGATGAATTGATGAACGATTCAGTGAATTTTGGCGATTGAATTCCACGTACAAAGCAATGTTCCAAATGAATAATTAAAGATTTCCAAAGACAGTTTTCAACGGACTCATAATTCAATATAAGATGCAAAAATACATATGTAACTTCGTCAGAATTTAAAATGCAATTTAAGTAACAGAACTAGTGGGAAAATCAAATTTGTGATGTGCACATATAAAATATTTATGCCATTAGGACTAAATGTAGGAATAAACAACCAAATTCCCCCCAGATGAACGCAAAATGCCTTCATTCACTCAGGGTTGCAGAAAATTAAGCTAATTTCTAGCTGAAGTGCGAAAGTTTTCAAGCGCTATAAAGCTTCAGAATTAGCAGAAGTACATGTGTTTTCCCCAAGCCACAAGCGTTCCGAACTAGGGCTGCTGTTTGATATTTTATTATTTCTTTAAAGAATGAATAGTTTGTTTCAGATTGCAAGTACTGAATTATATTACAATTTATTTTTTTTGCCTCAAAATGCTTAGTTTTTCAGTTTTCCGATTACTTTTTTAGTAACAGATTTTATTCTAATTTTCGGGTTTTTGTTTTGGTTATTTAACCAAGTGTTACTATTATGTTTTGAATATTTTTTTTATTACTATGTATCTTATGAATTTTTGAATTAAATTATTTGAGAAATATATATTTTTGGGAAAAACACTTTCACAACCGCTTTAAGGGAAAGAACTCTTGCTTAGAGATACAAGAGAAGGATGTTTAGCTTTTTTTCACACATTCTCCATCCCTGATGACATTTAATGGCAACAATTTTTGCTCTTCTCTGCTGTTCGCACAGGTCGAATTGAATCGAGCCATACTGAAGAACGTTGGCAAACGAGTGTTCCTGGGCTCGACGCCATCGGTCGCCACCCGACACTTCCAACAGCAACAGCAGGAAGCGGCGCTGCTGGAGGAGCAACGCCTTCAACGTCTTCAGCAGCTGCAACAACAACATTTCCCAAGTCAATTGTGGAGTCTGGTGCAGTCACCCTCGCAGCTCGCCTCGTCGACAGGGCTCTCGTCACGGTTTTTTGACTTTGTGCAACAGCAGCGGCCACAATCAGAATCACAACATAGACATGAAATGGCTAGCAACCAGCAGCAGCTCCAGCTGCTCGACGATGCCAAGAAATCCCAGAGCGTGGCCGGTCTGGGCAAGCATCAGGCGAACGGAAATGAAATCGCAAATGAAACAAATCATGAAAATGGCAATCGCAAGGTTCTAGTGGCTGGGAAAGGAGCAACAGGCGCCTCGGAAGGTATTAACGATGTTGCAAGCTACGACATCCCAGACGATAATGACTCCAACTGGACTAGTGACGAGCAAAATAATGCGAATAACGAACTCTTCGACAGCGACAATGTGGACAATGCAAATGAACGCTTACCCTGGCGTTTTCTCTACCGTTTGCATAAAAGCCAACATTATGGAAATTAAGTAGCCGTCGCAATCCGGTTACCACACTCTCACACTCTCTCACACACACACACACACACACACACCGCAAACACCCAGATCCACAAAGAAATAGAGAGAATTAGAGAAGGAGACAGAGTAATAGCGGCAGTCTACGTCACAGTAGAGTAGAGACATGTATTATGACTAAATAAATATAATTACGAGTATTACTATAATTATTACATTTATTATTATTGTACATCGACGGTTCCTAATGGCTGACTATAAGGCAGGCATGTTGTGTGTGCACAGACCCCTCCGACAACAACAAAAACAAGCACTAAAACAAAATAAAACAAAAACAACAATTTACTCCTGTTGCTAGATGTATTTGTATTGTATTTTATTGAACTTACTATACTATACATACATAATATATACACTTATATATTTGTAACAATTCGCGCTACCTCTCTCTCAGACGCAGTTTAATTCAATTGCTGTTGAAAATCGAAAAAAAAATGTATTTCAAATAAAAAAAAAATATATCGGAAATGTAAACTCTTAATGTACACACTCGAACGGTAGTAGGATTTTCCTGACACTATACTCAAACATTGTACTTATCGCCTAGCAAAAAGAATTACAATTAAATAAAAATTAACGAGTTATGTAAAAGAAAAAAATGAAAGAAATTGAAATGAATTGAAATAAAGCAACTATAAATTAAACAAAATGCATTTGTTTGATAGCGTAAAAGATGTTGATTGTCTAAAATAAAATCAAAGTGTAGTTTAACATTCAAGTGTGAGCTTTTGACCCAATTCCCAGCACTTCCTGACGTTCATTTTAGCACTCTTCTGCCTGTTTTTTAATTTTCGATTTTCACTTTGAAAGCATTTTGGCTTTGTTTGTTATTATTTGCACAATAAACACTCCGCGGGCGGAATTTCATTTAAAATATCCTTTTTTCTCGTGCAGTCTACATTTTGTTCATTTCAAAACTGATTGATGTGTATCTAAAATAAATACTTGCTATATTAATGCATTCTCGAACGATGGCAGCTCTTAGCTTGTAGGCATTTAAATTGTTATTATATAATAATAGTATCCGAATATTAATTTAAAATTACTGGAAATTTATACCGAAACTGTCATTTAATGTCAAATCTATTCTTATTATATTTCCCAATTGGAATACATTGGAAATGATTTCAAATCATTGCAAATTATTAACAAATTCTAGGGCACCAGCCAGCTTAAAAATGAAAATAAAATACATACAACTTTGTGTAATAAATATTTTGTGCAACAAAAGTTCTTTGATTCTATATGTAAATACAACTTTTCTCATAAATCAAGCAGGAGCTATGAAACCCCAATGAAATGAAAATGAAATGATATAAATTATATATTACCTAATTATACATACTTATATATGTATTTATTAAAGCAAAAACAAACAACAAAAACATGAGAAATAAAAATCGTGAAATATTTAAGTGGCATTCAATTATTAGACGCTTGGCTTTCTTTCTGGGAGGTTTCTTGGTTGCTGTGTGCCGTGGCCAGCCAAATGATAAGATAACGATTTCGCTAGCTTTAGCTTTCGTTAGCTTACGTTCTGGCCAATGGGAAGGTATGGTGGGTATAAGGAAACCCTAAACGCGGTCTACTTAAACTTTCAGCAGCAAGCAAAAGATAAACAAAAACAGCTATCATTTAATTTGCCAAAAGCACTGTAAATTGGCGGCAGACTCCAAAATAAACAGCAATTTGAGTGACTCGAGGGTCTAATTAATAAATTTCATGTCCAACCGATTACATGACATCAACAAATTGCCGCTTCCAAACACTTCACAACGCCAGGCCCCAACTCAAGCGATAATTATCACAGCACCATTAAAAATCCCAAACACGTAGAACAACAGTTGACAAGCCAGCAAACAATGATAATGAGAAGAACAAAAACAACATCATCAACATTACAAACCACAATATTGACAATGTGGTGTGCCTTTCGTCCTATTTATCGTACATTTCATTTCGTAGAATCGAACAAAATCAATGATTCCAATCATGCCAATCAAATGTGCTTAGTCGCTACAAAAATTTCAGAGATATAGCAATAGCAGGTCTGAACAAAAAGCAGTTTGAAATCAAGTCTGCCCGACTTTACTGATATTATATACGAGTACATCGTATATTGAAAGTAACCACAAAGATCACACTTAAATACCATTACAATAAAAATTAATTTACTGAAACGAATAGCGCATAAGCCAAAACTGAATAGGCCGGCATATAAAATGTGACTAAATTAAACCTACATGCCATGTAGTAGTATGTATGAATTTTTGTAGATATAATAGTGAATGGACCATTGGGAGAGGAAAATTGTGCCTTAAGGTGTAGAAAGAGCGCAGACCAGAATACATGACCTACAAATCTTAATTACCTACTTGTTATGCCACCACAAATTTTTGTTTGCCAATAAGATAGTCGTAAAGGTGCCCTCAGTGCTTAGCAAAGTCATTGTTAATACCAGCGAGGGATAACAACCTGCCCACACGTTCCTGTCTTGGCCAACGCACGCGTCTGCGTCTGCACAGGACACACGTGTTTATTATTTGGCCGCTTTGGGCCAAATTATTATTTAATAGACAACGGCAAAGGTAAAAGGCCCAGTCCAGATTGAGCCAAAATTTAGGAATGAATTTTACGGCACTTTTTATTCAGCTCTCTTTTAAAGCATCTTTTCAAGGACGGTTCGGTAAGTTGGCACCGGTTTCAAAGGCCACAACACAAAGGTTCCAAATGTGATGTTGGCCACCTGAACGAATGCGTAATATGGTCGTAGTTGTCTCGCTTATGTTGCTCAGTGTGGTGCAAAGAAAATCGTTTAATGGCTCCACTTTTATGCCGTCCAGCTGAGGTTGGTGACCGTTACACACCTGGATTTATGCAAATATTGTGTGGTTAGGTCAGGGCTGAGCTGATCTGAACTGAGCTGAGCTGAGCTGGGCTCGTATTTATTGGAATATTCAATTTTTTCGTGCACTTCGCCTGATTAAGTCACGTACCTAACGATGCGATTACAGACTCCATGGCAATGAGTATTCAATGGCAATGACTGTTCTACATTTTGGATATACATACTCGTATATGAAAACCAGCAATTATTATTTGTAACACAATTGGTAAGCCATAAAAGATATGTACGTGAACGCAACTACGCAACAACTGCTAAGTGTTGCGAGTTTTTTACTCACTGAGTTTTGAATATAAAGGAAGGGTATTGTCCAATTTGTTTCAAATGCGATTTTTGTTAATACTATATACTTATAATATTTGTACAGAAAATTTAATTTATTTCTTTATAAACTAGATACCTTTAAAAACAATTAACAGTTCATTCCTGATATAATATTAAAAATAAGTTTTCAACATTAACTTTTTTATTATATTAACTCTAATTAAAATCGAGAAAAAATAAATATAAATATTTTTTATTTAATAAACACTGATACACAAGGTACAATAAATTAAATATTCTTTCGCAATACTATTCAACTAAAACTAAAATTATTTTTGCTTTAAACAATAATTTAACATTAATTTATATAATTATTTTTAATACATTAACAAATAAATAAAAAATTAATAAATAAAGTGCAATCAATTTATGTTGATTTTCACACAAATCTTTTCAATGTAAATGAAATACTTTACTAAATTATGTTTTAAAGACACCAACTTATTAGGATTATTTATTTAATCTTTTGTTTAACAATTAATAAAAACATATTTTCACTCAACATACCACTTTAAATCCGTCCATTATTAACACGCTATTTTCATTCTAATAAAGGTCTACGAATACAATGAGCTGAATGACAGTAAATGTTAAATATTTACAAACATTTCCGCACACAATTCCATGTGCTCTATAGCTATTAATATTTTTCCCACACATAGCATTGTCGCCCATTCATCTCAACTTTTGAAGCTTTACAGAAGCGTTATAAAACGTGAACGTTACTTAAACGTGCTTAGTAGGAGCTCACTTACCAATTAAATGCTGCAAAACCACAACAAAGACAAGGGACGCCCACGTTGCGTATGCGTGATATTTGCATACAACAGTTCAACAACTGCAGAGGAAAGTTCAAGAAATAAAACAAACTAAAGCTGAGGCAGCCAAAGGTCTCAACAGCCCGTGCGAAATGATCAAGAACCGCAAAGGAAATATGCAATGTTAAACAACAACAAGAAGTAAACGGGTTTATGTTACTGAGAGAAGGAAAACCAGAAATGTGAAGTAAAAATTGCATTGCAGGAGATGCGTTGAGATGCGGTGTTTGATTCGAGTGTCGTGGCACTGTGCACTCGTGTTACCTCCTGACAATTTCAGCGTTTACGTTATATTATTTTTTCTCTCTCGCACTGCGCAATGCAAACGATGGCAACGAGTTCAATTCAATTTTTATTCCATTTTCAGCAAGGGGCTCATGTGTACATTGTACCTGACTTGGCAAAGCCGCGAGAAAGGCGCCAACTTAAGCACAGCGAGGATATCAGGATATCAATATTCAACTGTGTGCGCAAAATATTTTGTATTCTATTTTCTTCACACTTTTCCACTCACAGGTACACACACACACACACAACACAAAGCCGCAACAGTGGCGTAATTAAAATGCTCAAAGGTATTTGCGTGTCTGTCTTGCTCCTCGCTGTCTCATGTTTGTGATGGCATGCCGCAAAGACCTTGTAGTTCAGAGTATTGCAATTACCTACCATATATTTTTTATATGGAATTTTTGATGAATTCCTAAGGGTCTTCAAATTGCAATACAATTTAATGCCAACCGAGCGAGCTGTGCCATAGCAGCTTAAGCTGAGCTGGAAGCATTTTTATTCATTTGATGCAGTGGTAACTTCAAATTGGAGCAGGTCGGCTAAATTCAAGTTCAACAATATATATTATTGCACTATAATAATCTAAAGCCATCGCACTATTCAATACACCATGGCGATAGTGTCCGAGTCTTCCTGTTTTTGATTAACTCAATTGGACAGAACATTTTAAAAATATAGAAGTTAGTTAGGCTCAGCTTTATTTACATTCCATCACAAAGTAATAGTATTTGTGTTATGAGTAAAAAATGCAAATAACAAATATTAAGCTCTGTTGCAAGGTTGTAACTATTGTTTAAATAAGTTAAGTTAGTTAGTTACAAATGTTGACCAACCAAAATTTCTGCAGTAGAAAAAGTATGTGAACTTCTCAAAAATCAGCAAAAATCTCACAATAAATGAATGAACCGAAAATTTTAGGCAGAAAAAGGCCAAAAATTATCTATTTAATCGACAAATGAGGCTGTACGTCGAAAACATTGGAAATGCTTTTGTACTACCATTCTGTTGGACTTGCCCGCCGATGACCTAAAACGCTGAAATGCTTCTTGATCTTGCAAAGCCTGATTTTCAATTAAATAAACTCATTTTGCCAAAATATAGTTTCAATTCGCATGCACCTCGTACAACTTCAAATATCTCAATCAAAATAATTTAATATAGAATAAATAAATCAATTTTAGAACAGATTGTTCTTAACATCAATATGAACTAAATATTTTAATATAAATAACGAAGCAGAGAAAACCATATATTTTAAATATAATGTCTTGAAAATAACATAAATTTATTTCGTATTTTTGGGTAAACATTTATTTGTTAACTGACTTTAGAATATTTCTCATAGTTATGAAGACTAATTTCTAGTATAATTATATGTATAATATGAACTAAATATTTTAATATAAATAACGAAGCAGAGAAAACCATATATTTTAAATATAATGTCTTGAAAATAACATAAATTTATTTCGTATTTTTGGGTAAACATTTATTTGTTAACTGACTTTAGAATATTTCTCATAGTTATGAAGACTAATTTCTAGTATAATTAAATTAGAAACTTAGTTTCGATTCACCGTTTTTATTTATTTTATTATTTTTGTTTTATTTTTAAATGCCAAATAAATTTCAGCATAATTATTATTATTTGTTTGCGACAGATGTACATTTTGATTGGCGTTCTATCTTCACTTATTTATTTATTTTCTAAATTTTTGCAAACTCAACTATAGAAAAGAATTTCTCAGCACTAACGAGAGAACAATATACAATTTCTTCACCTCCCTGTCACAATAAAACTGTCGCCTTGAAAAACCTATTTGTGATAAATTCAACAAAGAGTTAGTCACTGGCATGCATCGCAACTAAAAGTGTCCTGGAATGCCAAACCAATAGAATTAAATAATTATGTAGTCCCCAGGAAACTTCGTTTGTGCGACTGCCAACAGCTTTCGAGAGCTGCGCATAGTTAAGGGATGACTAGGGAGATGGCCACAAGGACAACAGCAGGCCACCTGACCTCCACATATACAAATATCTCTTCAGATCTCTGCAAACGATTTGTTTTTGGTTTCAGTAGTTTGGCAAACACGAAAACGAAGCAACGACAACTGACTACCACAATGAGAACAGTATCTGCTTGTGACACTTAATGTTTTGTTCTATCGCAGTGTTGAAATTTAAAGCTTAATTTTAATTCTAAAAGGCAGAGCCTTGTGAAATCTTGATGTTCATGGTACGACAAAAAGCTTCCATTTCTTGGAATGCCATATGCTGAGAATCACGATTTGCGCCAATTTCAAAATCCCTAGCCGCATCACCATGATAGACATCACTCATCTTTTTGCCCCGAGCTATAGTATATTCAGCCTCATCGAATTTTTTTCGCTTTAGCTCAAATGGGAGATCATCAAATGAACCTAAAGTTGTGCCATGAAGTTGAGAGTCTGCACGTGTGTGCCGAGAAGAAGCAGAAGACCCAGAAGATGATGTAAGTGTGTCTTTTTCGGGGCTCCTTACTGTGCCAACAACCAAGGGTTCCTTTTCCAAGCCCAAGTCAATCTTGTTCTTTTCCGCCAATAAACGTTCCGACAGCTCTTTGGAATCCAGGATTGTTTTCATACCAAAATATGGGGTGCTGGACTTTGCTGTTCTCATAAAACCATATTCACGCCTTTCAATTGGCATATGCAAGGTGGTCTGAATGTTTTCCTGGTCGAAACCAATAGCTTTCTTGAAAAACGTGTTAACTTTCTTACCCTCAGCGGTAGGACGCTTCATAACCGACTTCGGCATGTTCTCATGTGTTGACATAACGCGGACTGCCGGCTTACCCGACTTCTGCATATCGCGATAGCTATAGGCTGATTGCTTTTGCATTTCAAAAAGCCACCAAAATATTTACAAATAAAATATAAATATATTTGTATTCTAGGTGCGTTTGTTTTGTTTATAGTAATGTATAGCTGATGTTTAGTCCAAAACTAATTCGATTTGCAAAACACTTTAGATAGTTAGGAAGAGTTTTGACAATTTAAAGTTGATTTTTTTTGCCCAAGGCAAGCAAAGTCCTTGCATAGAAGCTGTTTTTACATCCTACGAGCCGTGTGTCCTTTTACGGTTGTCTTGTAATGAGTTTATCTAACTGACAATTGTTAAACATTATTATTCAACTATAAAATTTATACCTAAAATTTTAATATTTTAGACGAGGCAATGCAATTAGAAGACAGAGAAAAATTGTCTGGCATACATTCATCAAAAAAGAATTGATAATTTCTTAATTAATGATCGAGTCTCCAGGAAGCTCCAAGTGGGAATAGAATTTTTATAGAGAATTGAACTACAAGATTGGAAAATATCTCCAGACTATGAAAAAGCTCTCACTCTAAAACATCCTGCGAGAGTATTTTAGAGCCTCCATTCGTTATTATACCAATTTACAGACGATTATTGAAATCATATTTATGTTGTTAAGTGGCTTATTTAGAATAGAAAATGCATAAAAACTTTTTTCAAATAAAACTACTAATGTATTTCTTCTGATTTGAGTTGAAACTAAGCTGCATTTTAAAGACATTTTAAAGAATTTGTTCTAATTTAGAAAGCTTTTTCAACCGAATAATAATTGGGCAATTTTCGTACAATACCTTTAAAGAACTTGACTTTTTACCTACAATAGAGAAGAATTGAGTGGAAAAAAAGGTCCAGACGTGGCAAACGTGCGACACCTTTTTAGGCAAAGCCTTTGATTTTTTAATTAGGGAAAAATATGTATTTAAGCCAATAACTTTAACACCCCATTTCAAATGTTAGACACAAAATAACTTTTAAGCCGCTCCAAAAACCTTTACAACAAATAAACTCAATGGATTTGCTTTGATCATTGCTTTACACGAATTTTCAATTATTAACTAACCCAAATTTAAAGTTTGCTGTTCCTTGAGGTGAGGTGCAAGTGAACCCACAGTCGGATGCACAAAATCAATCAAAATAAAAATAAAGGACGACAATTGAAAAAATGCCTCTCTGGCCCGTGTCTGCGCCTGAGTTTTTATTGTGGACAGAAACCTGACCAACACAAACAGCCACCATTTCCACTTATCTTGGCCATTTGGGTTGTGCATAATTTTCGGCAAATTTGTTTGCTCAACGATAAAAATCTCACGAGACAATAAAAATACAAAAACACCGAGCAGAGGTCCACACGCAAACGCAAACCCCAACCCCCTCCCGCCCTGGAACTAAACGCCACGGGGCGTGAACAATGTGTGCGGGCGTACAAAGTTTATTTTGTGATTTTGTTTGCCACGAAATGCCTATAAAATAAAAGGTGAACTGGGCCCGAAAGACAATAAAATCGAGGCCTTTAGCGGCACTTTTCACTCCGCTGAGATAAGCCCCAGGATGTAGTGGGCTTAATGAGGTCTATTTTTAGAAGATCACGTTTCATGCCCAAGATGGGCATCGACTTCTCTCTCATTGTCTTAAAAATGCTGCCTGCAATAGAAGCGGATTATATCAAAATCATATTATAATAGTATTTTAATCAAATTAAATTGATTTAATTTATTTGATGTAATCGAGCTGTTAAAAATAAACTCAAACTAATATACTTATAAAAACTTGTGAATCATGTGAAGGAAAGCCCGAAGGGAAATTGTAAATTTCCTATTTATGGAATGTATGCTTTAATTTTATATACAAACCTAAGTATATCTTAGTTATTTTTCATGCTCTACAAATTTCTAGCATTCTATTTCCACATTTGCTCAAAAGCACCTAATTAAGGGAATTAATGTGTTTCTCCATCTTTGGAAACTTGAATGGAAGACACGCACATTTGAAGAGTCCTCCGATGCGAATAGACGCCATTCTGGCTGGCTGGTGGTATAACAATTGTGGGTTATGCAAATGCGCTAATTGCTTTACGTAGGTAGATGATTGGTTTTGTTCGCTTCCGCCGCACATTCCGTACTTTACGGTCGTCGTATGCCGAAAATAACCATTTCTGTTACCGCAAAATTCATTTCATTTATTGGTTTCACACGCTGCACTTTGTCAATTGAATATGTAATGTGACTTTATATATATTTTGGTCGTATTTCGGAGGTGATGACAATAATCAATATACAATACATGCTCAAAATATATTTGCTTCAACCGCACAGCTAATGGTTGGCCAAATTAATTAAACAAATTGGCAATCATTGCCATTAGGTGTTATTCTTATTATAAAATATTGATAGGCATTGTCAAATAAATTCTAATTCAAATTCTCAATTGAACATTTATTTGCGTAGTCTGTCCTTGAGACAATCCATTTAAATATGTTAGAGTGCTTCCACAACACTTGTTTGTTTGTCTGCTTACATGGATCTTCCTCTTCCATGGCCTAGGGTCATTGACCTAGGACAATAATAAAGCCTTACAGAAAACAGCTTCATAAAAGTCCACTGCAAACTGATTGAAATGCAGAACGAATGCCAACCGCAACACCGACAGCAAATTTCAATTTACATGCCAATAATCGAAAACCAAAATTAAACTGTTACTCCACAGGCAAAACAGACAAGCTCACAAAACCACACATACACTGCAAATAACTTAAATAGGTTCAGAGATTTTGGATGCATTATATATTGCTAAGCTTTTTTGTTGCGAGGTATAAGAAATTGTTCCAAACGTTTATTTATTTATTTCATCGACAAACAATGCAGTCGATGTTCATAAAAAAATCAATACAATAGAGAACTTAAATTAAATAAAACTAAAGAAATAAAAAAGCCTATAAAAATGACAAAAATATCTATTAACGAACCCGACACGGTGGGGGAATTTTATTTGCCAAACGTCCAGCTATGCCCCGATTCACAGCAGAGAGTAGTCAGATACCTTATTAGACCTATCAAAAAAGAAGTGGAGATGAAAAAATATAGCAATAAAAGATAGAAGAAAACAAAATAAAATTCAAATACTTAAATAATAAAATATAAAATATAATTAAAAATTAAAGGTGAAGAATCACTGACCCGTTGTCAAATATTTTAAAGCTGAACCCATTAGGTGATCAGAAACTATTAACTTATTAATTAAAAATATATATTATTTAATAACTGAGTGTGAAAGAAATGATTATAATTTACATTTTTATATCAAATGGAATTCGTTTGGCACGGTTCTGTTACAGAGATATGCTTCCACTTCTGCAAGGGGAAGCTGCTGAACCTATTCAAGTGACATGCAGTGTACAGAGACACAAAATCGACGGCGACTCACCCAACATTTTTTGGTCGAGTTAATCTGGTACGTGATATCAGCATTCGAATACAAGCCAAACACCTCGGGCGACTTGTCGCCCAAGCAAGCTGTCTATGTAATCGATAAAGTCCACCTTTTGTGCACCAATAGCCTTGTAGCCTTGCTGGATGAGGCTTAAATAACTTGACTATCGAAGTGAGTGGACGACGAAATCGTTTGTGACCGCAACCTGCCTGCGAGCATTAGGCAGTGTTTGACCTCAAACTGGAGCAACACATACATCTCCAATCAGGAAATTAGTGGTTCGTGGCCAACATCGGGTTCAGCACCAGCATCTCGTTCGTTCACTCTTAATTGCATGCAAATTCCATAACCCGATCTTTGGCTAGTGGCATGTGTTCTCCATGCGGGTCAGTAGGGTCTTCAGGCACTTGGAAAATAACCCAGGAAAGCAGACTAGTATTTATTAGTTTAAAAGTTAATATATTTTCCCTTTGCCGTAATCAATCACACATTGAATTCACCAATGATTGAAAAGTGGCTTGAATTTTCTGACGTGCGGCGTTCTTTGAACTGTCGACCATTCTCATAATTCGCATGAGAAACATCCATACCGATTAGGCTTAAATTTGTACCCTTTTTTACTATAGTATTACATAAATTTCCACACATCTTCCATTCGAATGTGTACACATTTCAATGCACATATGTTGGTGTTTATCTGAATTAAACTTTGAAAAAGCAACAGAAATACAAACCACATTCTATGTAGATAGGCAATGTTGGCAAATAATGTAAAGAAAGAAAGAGTATATTATTGCAGCATCAATACTCATAAGTTTATTCCGCACGCTACAAATTGATTTATCACAGTTTGACTGAGTGCGTGATAAAGTTTGCGAGTGGTTTCTGATCTTATTAAAAGCTTTAAAGTCAACGTAGCTAAGGGAATATTACAGCGGGAAGGCGATTTATGAAATTAGAATTAGTAGAATTAGTTTGATTTAAAATCGATTTTATGTCTGCTAATCACGTCATGACTTGCTTAAAAGGTAAACAGCACTTCAGCGACTAACTAAGAGAAAGGAAACATGTTTGTCAATTCATGGGTAACTTAATATGAGCTGCAATGAAAAAAGCGAAATTGAATCGATATATCGTCAGGGGGAGAGGAAGAACAGGTACATACTATAACCTACCCACGTGTGTTTGCTTGCCGTGCTGTTTGGGTTGGAAGCCAATTTGTAAAAATTACATAAGTAAGCATTTTCGCGCACCACAACAAAGGATTATGTCCGCGGGCAACCCACTATCACACAAGCACAGACTACGCACAGTGACAATATGTGCTGGAGGGCTACAACATAATGTTCCATTAAAACAAAATGCAGAGGCTGAAAACATTACATAAATGAGACCAATAATTCAATATGTGCGAGGCCTGTCAAATGTAAATTAAAATATCGCAAACTCCATGGCGCCCAACAGGCGAACAACAAACCAATTTTGCATGTATGTGTGTGTGTGTGTGTGTGTGTGTGTGTGTGTGTGTGTGTGTGTGTGTGTGTGTGTGTGGGGGGGAGTGGGAGGTGGAGGGGGTGCAGGAGCAGCATTATACAATTCTCTATAATGTAGAGCTACGAG